CACACTCAGGTTGGGCTGCTTGCTTCCTTGTTCCTTTTATTTGCTCTGGGGGGACAGTAGGTGGCCTCTTGCCCTTGTACTCACAGTGGTCCATCACGGACAGGGATCTGTTTTAGCCAGGGTGGAGGAGATCTGTGTGTTTTAATCACAGGGCTTCCTGTTTTCTTTGCCTTCTAGAAAGTCCAAGAGGAGGAGAGCAATATCAGCAAGGCGCCCACCGTCGTGTCGGAGGCTCACCTCTGAGAGAGAGACAGAGAGAGGTGGCAGAGACTCAGGAACAGACACTCGCCTCTAGGTTCCATTTAGCTGTCCCTGCCAGCGCCTAGATCTCCATGGAGGAGCTTCTAGAGCAAGCAGCTGGAAGATTTGTGACTTGCAAGGCAGTGCCTCTGCCTGCTGGGCCCTACCTGAGAACCTGGCTGGTCTACTCAGGGAAAACCTCACCTCTCTCCAGATGCAGACTGGATTCTGGTCCCCTCTCCCTGTTAGGTCTCGGGGCTAGCATTGGGAGAGGCTGGTGGAGGGTGTTGGAGTCCATCCTGGCTTGATTCCTTGCCTTTTCTTATCCCTTCTCTCGTGGAGAACACTTTCAGAATTATCCTAAGAAAGCTTATTCAGGATATTAACTTTTTCTAATGTCTTAAGACTTAACCACACGAAGCCTGGTTCTTACTGAGAACGGGCAAGCTGCTCTGCCTGGGGGTCATGATGAGGAAGCACCATGGTACAGCCTCCATCAGAGCCCAGCGTTCCACAGAGGCAGCTCTTTCAGGACTCTTGACCTCAGCCCTCCCAGCCAAACACTGCAGTCTCTTCCCACCTTCTTTCCTGACAGTCAAAGAGACAAAACAGCAATAAACCAGACAAAACCTCTCTTGTATCCCTGAAGGAGCAAATGACTGGAGAGGGCTCCCTGCCTAGGTGTGTGTGGGGCTCTGGGTTAGGATGGGAAGGTGCTTTCCTACAAAAGAGGTGCTTGCCCAGGGATTCCAGTGTCCCAGGCTACTCAATATTTTTATTGGATATTGCACTGGGAAATGCTGCCATCAACCATGGCTCTAACCTTTGTTAAAAGTTAGTCTCATTGACTCTACTCTGACATCCAAGGCTGTCTCTGAGGAAAGAGGCAGAAGGCGGCTCTTAAAACAGACATGATGTCTGTTTCAGGTAAACATAATCCTGTGGATGCTTGGGACAGTATTTGCACAACCAAACCCTCTCCCTGCCTCTGCTAGCAAAATCTGCCAGATATTTTAAATTGAGAAAGACTTCTTGTAAATCCAGTTGACCTCCTTCCTCCCCCAGTCTGCTGGTAACAGCATGGCTTTTGTAGTGTCTCCTCCAAGAGAAACTGGCAACTGATTTCTCCTGCGCCTTGAACAATTCTGGTCAAGACCATTGCATCATCTGGCCTTGGCCATGGCCTTAGCATTCCAGAATAGCCAGATTGCCTGCAATATCGGGGTGCCAGGCCAGAGGGGATTCACTTGTGTGCACATACATGCGTATTTGTGTGTTCTGTGTAGACCTGAGCGGCAGACAGGAGGAAAGCAGTGTGGTGGAGGGTTAGGGATGGAAGAGAGAGGTAGGTGCCTTACTTTCTGTCAAGAGAAAGGAGTACTTTTTTCAACTGTTCAAAATGGACATGTTTACTCAATCCACTTATTTAAAAAAAAACCCACAATTTATATTTCTTGTTTATAATACCAGATATTTTTAAAGCAATAAAGATTTTCAAAGTGGTTTGCCTTGTCATTTGGCAAGGTAGTGGCAGCTCTGGGCAGTCCCACAAAGTTATCACACTTTTTTGAGACTGTCTGGGGGGGACGACTGGGGGTGAGGGGCAGGGCTTGGGGCCAGAACATCTGTGTCCTTTGTTGAAAAGGGTGTAACATCCTGTTGGACTTTTTAACAGACTTTAAAGGTTCCTGACCGCCTACACAGAAGATGTAACTCAGTGGTCAACCTGTGACCCTGACTTTCCCTCTACTGTGTACAAGCCGGAATGTGCTCCTCCCCAGGAGAAAGGCCCACTGTTGTCCTTGGCTCTGCCTCAAAGGGCAGCTGAAGTGTTTTGTTTGATCGCCCCAGACCCACACCAGCTTGCTCTGGCTGGTGTCCACAGCTTAGCTCCAGCATTGGCAGCTTGGTGACTTTCTCAGGGACAGTCTTCCCTGCTCTTCTTTACATTGGTTACCAGGTTCTCAGCTGTCACTTTTTCTGCCTGTTTCTTGCCTTGAGAAGTGCCCCACGCCCGTGACAGTCAGGCACTCTTTCTTACCCATCTTATCTGGAGAAACAGTGTTCCACTAGATGTGCATGCGAGAGGGACTGAGCCTGACTCTTAAATTGTCTTCTTAAAACAGTGAGCAGGGGAAGATAATTCTTCCGATTGAGCTGGCTTTCCAGTGTCATGGGGATCCGAGGTCCGGAACCGCATTCTTTTTTGGCAATATAAATGAAGCCAGCCTGAATCGGAAAGCCAGAGCTGTGCAAAGCTGAAAGAATTGCAGTAAAAGGGAGCTGGAGACCCGACCAAACACCAGCGCACCCCAGTACATCTTTTGGGCTACAACGGCCATGCCATCTTTACCCTTCAGTCATTTAAGGCAAACTTTCCCTCTAAAATACTTTTCTGTGTATTTAACTAAGACCACCAGCCATCCTCCTTACCCTTACCCAAGCCACTTCCTTCCTCTGGCCTTACACCTTTCTCGAAGCATTCACCCTTCGGCAGCTTTGCTGATCTCATTCCTTGAATGGTTGCTTCTCCTTTTACCCTAAATGCTCAACATCTACCTTCTGGCCATTTGAGCCTCAGCTGAAGCCCTCCAGTTCAGGGAGATCTTTCTGATCTATCTATTGTCTTCCTTGTAGTGAGTCTTTTTCTGTCCTGCCATCCAGTTCCCAAAGAACCACATGGAAACTTATTATGAAAGCTTGGTCTTAGCTTAGACTTGTCCCACTAGCTCTTATAACTTAAATTAACACATATCTTTTAATCTATGTCCTTTTATGAGGCTCAGCTACCTTTACTTTGTAATGTCTATGCTGCTTGCTCTGCATTCCTTCTTCCCAACATCCTCTCTGCCCCCAAAGTCCTGTCTAGCTATTGGCCGTTTAGCTTGTTATTAAACCAATCCAGGGGACACATCTTCACAGTGCACAAAAAGATAATTCCTCAACAATTCCTCCCTCCGCCTCTTGATTCAAACACCTGCTTCCTTATAGAATTCTGTCTGATGTTCTTGGCTGTTTCATGGAACCTGTTATCCTGACGGTGTGAGGCCCATGGCCTTGTCTATGTTGTTCATGTCTCCATCCTGAGGATCTAACATGGAAAAACACTCATAGGTATTTGTTGAAACAATACTAGCTTGCTGAATATACAGTGTTGTTCATATGGAGGCATTGACCTTGCTTCCTTACACCCTCATGGCTGTTCCTCCTAGGCTGATTCATTCTACTTTCTATAGCTGTGCTCAGGAATCTACTTCTTTAGGCCATCACTGTTGCGCTGTCGATGTGGAATCCTGAAGGTGAAGAAGGGAGAAGGGAAGCTCTGGCGTCAAGAAGACAAGTAAGCAAGTGAGACTGAGGAGCTAGAGGCAGCCAGGCTTTTCAGGGCCTCGAGCTGTCCTACTCTCTGCCGTGGACAAAAAGACGCAGAGAGCTCGGCTGCTCCAGTGTTGGGGCTCATGGAGGGTAAGAGGCCCTTAGGAAAGGTCAAAGTACAAAGACTGATCAGAATAGAAGGTTCTTCCATTTATTATAAAATGCATTACACAAATACAACTGACCGAAAGGTCTAAAAGCAGTCCAGACTCTTCCAACCTTTATCCAGCTGTAGATAAAAGAGAAGCCTGGTCCTGCTCACACGGAGGGCAGCCCTTCTCAGAAGAACTGCCTGTCCCTTGGATGGGTCAGAGTCTTGGGGTCCAGCAGCAGAAAGGAGGTCTGTATGCGTGGACAATCTCTGGAAGCAGCCCTTGGTCGCAGCTGCTCTGGGCAGGCAGCAGCTTGAGTTTCACAGTTCATATTCCCACCACACCAGTCAAAGCGAGGAATGGCGATAAACGGAAAAAGTGAAAGACTGGAAAAGGGAGCCTGGGGGGTGAGGTGGGGTCCTGCTAGGGGAGGGCACATGGGTGTGTGGGGGGGCTTCTGAGGATTTCATAACTTTGATTAATGTAACAGAATATTTCTTAGATGACTCTAAATTATATGTACATGTTACATAAGTTTTCTGTATGAATATCTTAAATATTTAAAAACATTAAAAACCCAAAACCCCAAAAGCTTAAGATGCTGAACCTAGATGGAGCGAAGGACACAGCTGAAAAGAAACAATATAATGACAGAGGATGAAGAACGATGACCGCCAAGGCGGAAGACGATGATGTTTTGGAGGTGGCAAGGCTGGCCTCAGCTTCAGTTTCTCTTCTTCTGCATGGAGCCTGGTTCTGCCTCTAGATACCGGAGCCCAACCAGCATACCCAGGATGGAGAGACCTTCAACGCAGAGAGAAGATTAGCGGTGGCTATAAAAACTGCACCAGCCCATCACCGCAGGGGTCACTACCGCAGGGGGTCTAGGGCAGCTTGGTGCTTACTTGCCACCATCAGGGGTGCCAGCACACCAACTGTGGGAGCTGCTGTTCCATATACGAACAACTCCGAGAGGAAGTGTCCCAAGGCGAGGAAGAATGTCCACAGTGTGATGTGGTAGAGTCTGTAAGGGACAGACAAGAGATGGGAACCAAAGTGACTACGTGTTTGGTGCAGCACTGCAGAGGGCATTAGCTGACTGGACACAAGTGACACATTCCTTAGAAACACCTGGCTATTTAATCACATCGAGTTCTACTCTCCTGGGGCAAAACTAGAGACCTCTGAGGCATGGGCCAAGCAGCCACAGGGGGCCTCTATGACTTAGCAAGGTAGAGAGCAGTTACCATGAGAGAATCTGGATGGCAGACTTGGGCCGTGCAGCAGTTCTGGATCAAACATACTCACGCGCTCGGTGCCAGCTGACAGACTCTAGCCGAAGCCTACCCTAGCAGGTGTCTGGCCATGAGCCAGCCAGTGCTGCGTGATGGAACCGTACATGAGTGTTTTCAGTGGCAAGAGGCCTTCAGATGGCAGTACAGCTTTGCTAGTTTATGTCTTGGCCTAAAGTCTGGTCTGGGGAGGTCACACAGCAACTCCAGAGGAGGAGAACTTGCTCCTCAGTTTTGACGATGAGATGGTGGCTGACCACCTGAATTTCAGGAATCTGGTTTCTTGTTTTTGTAAACTATGAAAAAAAAATTAGGACACACTCCAAGTAAATAGTAAACTGTAACGAAGCACAGTGTGACCAAGACTCAGCCCTACCGGTTTTCACATTTGGACACTTTTGGTTCTTTTCAGTTCTGGGGATCAAACTCTGGGACTAATGAATGCCAGGCAAGTATTCTGACTCTGAGCTAGATCCCCAGCTGGATACTTTTATATTACAAAGAAACAAACATTACAGAAGTGGAAACATCTGTGCACCCTTAGTCTACCCTGACTGCCTTCTCCTCGCTCCCCTTTTCAAAAGTACCCAGTGTCTTAAGTTGGTTTTTTATCATGCTGGTGCATGTTGCATGTGTGTGTGTGCATGCACATGCGTGTACGCACGATAATTTTGAGTTTCTGGTGAGGGAGGGAATAAGCTCAGGCTGCATGTCAGAGGTCAATGGATCAAAGTCCTAAGCTAGAAGTGACTGGAAACATTAACTCAGCATTTGCAACTGCTCTGGGCTGGAGGAGGGAAAGCTCTGAATGGAGAGCAGGGGTGAGGGCGAGAATGAATTCTGTTCACTCTTCGTGCACAGCAAACAGAAGCTGCAGCCCTTATACCTAGGTCTTCAAAAATGATTATCCCATCCTCCCTTCTTCCCATTCACCCAGAGAGGTAGAACGGCTATCTATTATCACTTTACAGATGGAGACCAAGGTACAGAGAGAGCAGATAACAAACCCAGTTACCGGCAACGCTGAGAGCAGAATGTGTTTTCCTTGCTTTCATTCTTGACCCCGGCAGTTTCCACTAAACCATACTGCTTCTAAAAATATGTGTCCAATCTAGGACATTTAATCCAGTTTCAAGTATAAAAAAAATTAAAAATAAAGATGGAAAGATCAAAGGGCTAATAGTTTTGCTTCAAATCCCACTTGAGTCAGTCTCCCTCTGCTTAAGTTAATTGAGTTTTTAATATTTATATTACAAAATCAGTAATGAAAATCACTACCTTCTCTCCCCAGGGGCTGCTGAGAGACTGAGGCAAGGTCATGTAGGTGAAAGCTCCTGGAAAAACCAGAGAGGAGCCATAAATATTGTTGCTTCCTTTCTTCCCCAGATGCCGAGGGGGAGGAGCAAGATAAAAAGATTTCAGTGTAAGGTTGGCCCTTTGACAGATTCACCCAGTGAATTGAGCAATGGCTGTTTCAACCGAGATAGTGATTACTGCCAGGAAGAAAGCTTAAGCTCCCTCCAGTGGCCAAGACTGGGTATGGCAGCATCTAGAAAAGAGGCTAGGATGGCCTGCACCTGTTTATTTTCATCTTACTCTTTGCAGAGGCAGCATACATGTTTCCCTTACTGACCTCCTCGTGGGCCTCTTTCAGCTTACTTGTGAGTTTCTCTCTTTTCATGAATTTCTGGTCGTTCATGATTAATGAGGGTCGTGCGAAATGTATAGGACTAGGGATGTAGCTCAGGGCTAGAGCATATACTGACTGTGCTCAAGGGCCTTCATTTGATCTAGCAGCACTGGGAAATAAAACCAAAACAGAACTCCAAGGCTAAACTGAGCACAGCACTCGAGTTCTTAGATAGAAGGTGGGTTCCAGTCAAGAGGTCTGATGCAGGCCACTCACTAGTCAATGGCAACGTCATTTGCTCTGCTCTGTCAGGCCTAAAGCATTTCAGGCCTGGAAGGAATGGTGCGGCTCTATGCTAATGACGTAAAGTGATTTAACAGGTCCCAACAGCAGGGCAGTGCACATGCGTGGAGCCTGACTGGCAACAAAAGGAAGCCAAAGGCCTCTTTTCCCTGACATACGTTTTGTTGTGGATGTCAATGGCACAGAGGCAGCGAATCACTGACGATAGCAGCGTCCAGATCCCAAAGGTCCGGGCTTGGAGGCCATTCACTGTGTAGTAAAGAACAAGAGCGGTGAGAAGGGGAGGGCTGCAGTGAGCTTTGCCCTAAGCTAGTCCGCTTCCCCGTGAGTCACAGAAAGTGGCTGAGCCTGGCCTCCCTGTGGGGGCTGAGGAGCGGAACGGAAGGAATTCTGAGTGCTGCTCCAACCTCTTCCGATGTTGCAGAGATGGTCTGAACACACAGATGCCTAGCAGGACCCACAAACGTTACAGACAGCTAGAGACCAGACGCCAGCACCAGCACAGATGTGCTCGAGACGGGGACTTCCAGAGGTCTCAGATCTGCTCTGTCGGGACGATGCACAAACCAGGATGGCTTCTTGTGCACACAGAAGTGTAAAAAATACTATTTCTCTGGGGGTTCCTGGGGTCTCTGTTCTTGGTAGCTTCATTGTGATGCTGCTGAATTAAATAGCTTGCCTTGAAGATTCAAGTCACATTTCCCTGGAACAGTGGCTCTTGAATAGTGGTTCTTTCTGCATCACCTGAAGGAGTCTTATAAAATCCCCAAGCTCTGGACACCTCATGAGTTATATCAGATTCTCTAGAGATGCGTCCTGGCATGAGTACTTTCTAGAAACACCCTGCTTGCGTAACTTAAATGTAGAGCCAGTGAACTGAAGCACCCTGTGATTTCAAATGTTCAAACTGCAAAACACGGCTAGTTCTTTTGCTGATCTCTTTCTTATAGAAATTTTTTTTTCATATTTAAAAAAAAATCTGGGAGTAGTTCAGTTGTTAAGCACTTGCCCAGCATGCAGAGTAAGATGTCCTGGGTTTGACTCCAGCACTGGGGGTGGGGTGGGGTGGGAATCAATGAACAAAGTCGACAACCGAGAAGTTTAACTTTCACTTGGCCTTAAAAAATTTGTTTGCCTTTGGAAATGCAGATAACTCTGCTAAATTCACACCAAGGACCTTTTAGAGCGTAATGAGAAAATACTTGAAACGTCAGCCATTTGGCCACACATTCTTTAGAAACCAAGTTGGTGGCTTTTCTAATGAAGACCAAAGAAATTCCTTTAGTGTGATATACTCAAAACCTGACAAGACCAAGTGAAAGTTTACATGTCTAGGCCACTAGAGCACTGCTTTGCCAACACACATGTGCACATGCTCTCTCTCTCTGGGCAAGAAGATGCCCTCTCCACTTCCAGATAATTTCCACAATCCTGTGCTGTGCAACTGTACAAGTTCCATGACCACGTGGGACAGCAACTGAGTGGGAAGAAAAAAATCCTTCCTGATCACCTTTCCAGGTTCTTGACTCCCATTTTATCTGAACTTCGTTCAAAGTAAGCCTCAGCCTATTTAATTTCATTCCTACCTACATGTTGCAGAGGAATGAGTAGGTCAGAGCCTGGATCTGGGTTAGCTATAAATGTGACAGAGCTGCCAGCTGCTGTCAATCAGTGCTGCAGCTCCAAGTACCCCCGTGCCAATGGCATGAAGTGCCAGTTGCAGAGTATACACAAGCAGTGGAGAGCTTCGTGAGTTGGGAAAGGTCACTGTGAACCGAAGTTTTACTTTGAGAGAGAAATCTGGAGGGATTTCAAGTATTCACTTGGACTACAGCTTAGTTTGGGAAAATCTTGGCTGGGTAACTGTCTACCTGTTACACAGACGATGAACCGTGTGTGCTGTGCCCTGATTTCTGAGGAGGGCACTGAGATACAGTAAAACGTCTCTTTATGGCTTTCGAATAGCATCCCAGAGTCAGTATGCCATTCTATTTCCTTGCTTGTCCTTATGCATGTGCTTCTGAACACATCCATTGTCCAGGGTGGTGTCAACTGAATGGGGAGGTATCCAGAGATAACAGAAAAAGGGGTCAAGTGCTTCCCACACATTCTATTACTCTAGTGGCTACCAAGACTGGACTAGACAACAGAACCAGCGGGATATTTCTAGAACGAGATTCCCAGCCAGGTCTGAATGATTAGATTTGGAGATGGAGAGAAGTGTCTGTGTTTTCATAGACTAAGTAGCCTGGTTTGTTCAGATCTATAGCCCAATTGGGGAATTAACAGCTAGGCCAGTGCTATACAGAATGCACTTCTTTACATTCTTTTCTTTTTGCTATTCTAATCAATTAATTTGTTTGCGGGGGGGGGATGGGGAACAGGGGATTGAGACAGGGTTTCTCTGTGTAACAGCCCTGGCTGTCCTGGAACTCACTTTGTAGACCAGGTTGGCCTCGAACTTGCAGAGTTCTGCTTCTGCCTTTCCAGTGCTGGGATTAAAGGTGTGCACCACCATGCCCGACAATAAATTTATTTTTTGATATAGGGTCTCACCAAATTGTCCAGTCTGGCTTTGAATTCTCAATCTTCTTGCCCTATCCTCTTGTACGCTTAGATTATAGGCATGTGCTATGGTGCCCGGCCAGCTCTTTTGACTTCTTACCAAGGTTTGGCTTGCCAGTGTAGAGCTTCTCATAGAGAAAGGTGTGGTCTCGGAAGCTCTGGAGCGTGTTCCCCATGGCTATGATGGACACCATAACCAGCCAGCTTCGTAACACGTTCAGGAAGCGGCTCATGATTTCCCCTCAGAGAGAGGGTGCTCTGTCTTGGAAACAAAGAGGACATAATGAAGGTACTTCCTCATCCACCACAGCTCTCTCACCTCTGGGGTTAGTCTGGGTCCCACTCGCAAGAGCTGGTCCGAGGGACACTGGCAGAAGACGTCACAGACTCCTCCTCGCGTCCTCTGGGGCAACCCTATTTTCTTGCCACACCGCTTTTACTTGACGTGATGCCTAGGAATATTTGCCCTACATGGAGGTATGCTGAACTTTGTTCAGAGTGACCGAGGCTAAAAAAGAATGCAATGGGTGGAAATTCTAGCAGGAAAGAAATGGCAAGAAGGAGAGCAGAAGAAATGGGGTGGACTAATATTTCTATAAAACGATAGAATGGGTTTCTGGGTGAAGCTTGTGCTGCTGCCAGGGCTCAGTCACTGTGATGAGGGTGAGTGAACGGTGACCTTGCAGCATGATGTGCAGCGTTGGCCTTTGTTAAGTCATCCTCCAAAGCACAGTACTGCTCTAAGTCAGAATTCCATCCCCTTGCCTGGAATCAGTACTGTGTCTTCATCTCTTCATGCCATTCCTTTGCAATACAAGTGGTTCAAAGGCGGTTTTAAATCTACTCAGATACCTGGATACTGATGACATACTTCCAAATTTATAGAAGCTGTACTGTCCATTTGAGTGGAAGCTATGGTGTGGTTGACCAACTGGTATTCTTAGTTTTCCTCTGCCTGGTTCACAGATACATCATGTTTCATAAACTAAAACATTAAAAAAACCCAACTTCCTTGGCTTGGTGTTGGGTTGCAAGAAAAACTACACTATATCAGTTAGGGGCGTTGTGCCCTATACTTGCCCCATGTATCTAACATTATATTTCACTCACTACCTATATCACCATAGGCAGGCACTACTAGTATTTCCATTTTACAAATGGAGTCTAGAACTAGTAGCTAAGTGATTCGCTTAGGTAACAAAGTTAATATATGGCAGATTGCCATGGTCTGTTGAAATGACTCTGTGTAAATACTACCTCCCCATGATTATTTTGATGAAGTTCCCATCTTAAAAAAATATTTACTTGCTTTGAGACAGGGTTTTACTATGTAGCCCTGGCTGGTCTGGAACTCATTACACAGACCAAGCTCGTCTTGAACTCACAGAGATTCATCCGCCTCTTCCTCCTGAGTGCTGGAACTAAAGACGTGTGCCACTATGCACAGCCAAGTTCCCATTTTTTTTTTTTGAGGAAGCTAAACACACCAGAAACACTGTTGTCTTCAGATGGTAGAAGAGCAAGTTTCTATACCTTTTGTTTAGATCAAGCATTGTTGAGTAGCGATTTCCATCAGTTTGATCTAAATGAATCCCACAAAAATAATTTATCACGATCATCATAATTTTGGCCCTTCATTGATCTGTTGTCAGGCTAACTTCTTTGTCCTGAAAGCTGTAGGAAACTATCAGGCTGCCTTTATCACGGTGGTAACATGTTTCAGTACGATTCCACACTACCCAGCATGGATAATAAAGTGAAGTGACCAAAATCCAACCAAAAAGGGCGTCAGAAGGGTGAATCAAGGGGAAACAGAGGCCCCAAACACAGACTGTCCCAGTCTATCGAGTCTCTGGCCCTCACAGACATTCACAACCTAGGCCAAGATCCATGTCTCTTTATTTCGTCAACACCAGACTCAATTTGACTTAGTTAAAAAAAGCTGCATCTTCACACATACTCCCTTTCAATAGAATGCAGACCGTATGCCTTCCACTCTACAGACCTTAGAAATCCCAGCAGAGAGCTGATGAAGACACAACCAGTGTATTTCCGTATTGCTCTACCAATTCCTCAAAACCATTTCCCTGGAGTTTTCAGGTGATGGGAGCGGCGGGGTTTACAGTATTAACTTCCAAATTTTGTCCAGATCTAGTTCAGCGTTGATGCAATGCTAATTAGCAATCAGGAAAGAGGGATTCCTATCCTAGCTCCACCACTCAGCTCGGGGGTCTCAGGCAAGTCACTGAGACTCCACAGCCCCAGTTTTCTCACCCGTCAATTGGGGATACAAACATTTATCTCAAGGGTTACTGGAGAATTACATGAGAAAACGAGCAAAGCTCCCTGCACAGAGCTAGGTTCAAAGTGACTGCTCGTTCATTCATCCGTCCCTTGAATTTAGCAAACGCTCTCCATTTTCCTAGCACCCTCTTGGACATCGTTTCTAGATTCCTTCCCCTCCCAAAAGGTAGCTTTCCAGGCAACCTCCACTTTCCTAAATTCTTCAGATAGTTTCATTCGTATGCAACACGGACACCTACATCCCATTCCAAATTCTCCTACCTGACGACCCAGTACTACTTCAGCACGAGAACCGGCAGCATCCACAAGCCAGCTCCCCCAGGACAGCGCCAGTCCCAAGTCCACCCCGGGCCACTGTCCCCGCCCCCACCCTCAGTCCCGCTCTAGGATTGGGTCGTTCCTGTCAGTCCTCGCTCCGATTGGCTGGGCTGGTTCAGTTCGAGCTGGCGATAGGGAGTGAACCCTTTGCTGCCAATCAGCAGTTGCGGACGCCTAAGCCTCTCCCCGCTGCGCTGCTCACGCGGTAAACCCTTCTGTCGAGCGCGGCGGAACTCTGGGTTTGGAGTCAGCCTTTAGGGGTGGGGGAAAACGCGGAAAGTAAAGAAGCCAAGAAATCCTTCTGGCGACAGCCTGGCTCTACGGGCGCGGCGCCCGGGCGCGCCGTGATGACGCCATCCGTCCGCGCCCGCAGTCGAGCGTTGTTCGCGCCGCTGGCAGGCGCCTGCGCAGTGGCTCCGAGCGGGCGGTTGCTTGTTGGTTGTTGTAGTAACGGGGGAAGCAGCCTTCGGCGGCTGCGTTGATTCCGACTGGGGAAGGAGAAGGGAGGTGAATCAGAGCCCGGTCCCCGCCTGCCAGCCCCGAGCTATGAGAAGATGAGACAGGTAAACGCCTGCTGGGCGCGCTTCGGGGAGGTACGCCCCAAGGCTGGGTGGGCGCCGCTGCGCTTCCCTCCGAGCCCCGGAGCAGCTGTTGGCTTCCGGGCGTGCTGGGCAGAAGCCCTGCGGCACAGTCGCCGCGTCCTTGCCAGCGTAGCACCTGCGGAGCTGCCTAGGGTTGGGGTGCAGCAGGCGACAGATCCCCGGAGGGACAAGGACTTCCTTGGGCATAGTGTCTCTAATCGTCAGAGCGCCCTGTCTCGTCTTGCTCGTCAAGGAGTCAAGGGAAGGTGGGCATCCTTCCTGCTTGGAGGTTTTAGTTTAACTTAAAAGACGCTTAAGCATTTTGGGAAAGATCGAGAAATCCCTTTAGGAATCATCCGAAAAGAATTATTGAGGTTGCCAGATGCTGCCGATTTCTGCTGAAGATGTCTGGCTGTTGCCGCCTGCTGCAGTTGTTTCGTTGGCTTGGTCTTGTCGTGTATGCATAGACAAGCAAAAGTTTGGAAAATTGCCCCAAATCGATTATCTCTGAGTAACGAGCGTTTTTTTCTATGTGTTTCTATTTCTTCTAAAACAGCGAACACGAACTTTTCCTCCATAGAAAGTTTGAAGTTAGAAATGCAGAGTTGAAAATGTTCTATTTTTAATGTCTACTTTAGGTTTGAATTAAAATGTGTAATTTTTTTTTTAGTAACAGAATAATTATTAAGAGTGTTTGGCTCCTTACTCCCCAGATGTTTATGTCATCCCTGGTGAGAGGAAAGATTTTCTTTATACTTTTATTAAAAGTTAAGTTAAATTGGTTTTTCTAGAAACATAGCATCATGATTCCTAGAAACATTGCTTGTGGCAGAGTCTGTATAGTCACAAGTGTTGTGGATCTTGAATTTTTGTTTTGATCCTAGTCAGATTCATCTAGCAAAGACTTGTTTAAATTTAGGCAGTTCGTGTCAGAGTGCCCTAAAGCTGTCCTGTTTTGGTGCATGCTACATTTGCTATATATGAAAAATGAGGAACTCAAATTTAGTAATAGCCTTTGAGATACAGCAGAGACACTGTGTTTGAAAAAAATCTTAAGCTGGATGTGGTGGTACATGCCTTTAATCCCAGCACTAAGGGGTGGTTGGAGGGGCAGAGGCAGGTAGAGCTCAGAGTTTGAGGCCAGCCTATTCTCCAGATTGAGTTCCAGGAGAGCTAGGGCTACTCAGAGAAATCCTGTCTCAAAAAAAAAAAGAAAAGAAAAGAAAAGAAAAAATAATTTTGATTTTTGTGGCGTATGAGGTGCACTGTGGCAGAAGGTGAGCTTCTAGAGGTTGGATAATATTTAGGAATATATTCCTTTTCATTCATTTTTAAAGATTGTGCCCAAAACCCTGAAGTGCCCACCTGCATTGTATTTGAAATCCTCTGACTTTTTCGCAGGAGTCTGTGCCATCCAAATTGTCTGATCCAGTGAAACTGCAAGGAAGAAAGGTCTCTGAGGCCTCTGTCTGTTGACTGCATGACAAACCCTAAAGGAAATGCCAGTTGTGATGGCCCGGGACCTGGAGGAAACAGCATCATCCTCAGAGGATGAGGACCTGGTAAACCAAGAGTAAGTCATAGCAAGCCCTTGGGGTGGAAAGTCGCTCCTCTTGCTCATAGCCAGCATCCCTGCTCTGGTGTTGTCCCCTTGTGACTGAAGTCAGCATCCTGTTATTCACTTCCCCTTCAGCTGTCAGAAATGTAAAGGCTGGGCTGTATGTTTCCAGGCTTGTGAGAGACTATCAGCTTTAAATGCTGTAAAGTTCAGGTAGGCGCTCGGGTGCGCTTGTGGTTTATTTATTTATTTTTTTTGCTCGTTTGTTTTGTTTTTTGTTTGTTTTTGTTTTTGAGGTAGGGTCTCATTCCTATTGTGCTCCCACTACGTCTGGCTTTGAAACAATATATTTACATATTTTTAAAGGCTTGCATGTGCCTGCTTGAGTTTATATGCATCATGGGCCTGCAGGTTCCTGAGGAGACCAGAAAGCATGGGATCCCCTGGAGCTGGGGTTACAGAAGATTGCAGCTGGGAAATAAACCTGGGTCCTCTGCAGGAGCAGGAAGCTCTCTTAACTATAGAGCCATCCCTCTAGTCCCTGCATTTGGCTTTTTTTCTTTCCTTATGGGTTTTGGGATTGAACTCAGGTCTCCAGGCTTACGAATAAGTACGTTTACCTGTTTAACCATTTCCCTGGCCCCATTGTGTGAACATGAATTTTTTTTTTATATTTATTTGTTTTAGTGTTTGTGTGTGTTGGGGGTGGGGCACACATGGTGCAGTGGAGGCCAGAGCATAGCTTGTGGAGTCTGTTCTGTCCTTCTACCATGTAGGTTCTGGGACTCAAACTCAGGTCTCGTGTGGTGACCAGCACCTTTATCCATGCAGCCATCTTGCCAGCCTCGTGTCAGGTTCACTCTTAACCAGTAGCGTTTAATAATTTGAAAATTTGAGGTTTTGAAAGTTTTAGAGATGGCTGAAAAGTTATTTTCCTAAGCTCTGACCTTGACTATACTAGTTTTCTTAAAATCCTTTACAACTATAGAGCAGTGGTGATATAAAGAGCCTCAGCAGCTCCTCCGAGGATGTTCGAGTTCTGCAGCTCGTGGCGTTGGCTCTCTGGAGTTTTTTTAGGTTAAGAGTCAACTTCCTCTTTTTTTTGTTTTTTTCCTGACAGGGTTTCTCTGTGTAACAGTCCTGGCTGTCCTGGAACTCACAGAGATCCACCTGCTTCTGCCTCCCAAGTGCTTGAATTAAAGGCGTGCGCCACCGCCGCCTCCCTGCGCCACCACCGCCTCCCTGCAAGAGTCAATTTTCGTTTTGCTGGATCCTCATAATGAAAATGATTAACATTGTCAAGTGCAGCTCCTGTAGATGGTGTAGTGTAGAGATTGAAAGATTTTAATTTGAAGATGTTATTTCTACTTTGTTAAACTCATTCTTGCAAATATCAAAAAAGATCTTCAAGAACGCTTACAGAGAATAGATGGATTGAGGTCTGAGCTTAGCCCTCCTGGATTTTGAAGGGTTTTACTTCTCGTGGTTTTGCTTGATACAAAAGAGAAAAGCTGATTTATTGTCACGATAACTTATTTAGTTATTAAGCTGATTTAATGTTAAGATAGCTTGCTTAAATATATTTTAAACTTTCATGTATATACTGTATTTACATCATTTTCCCCCTCCTACTTCCCCTCTCCAAATTCATGTGTTCTTTTTCTTTATTAGCTTTATATAAATGTATATTCATGCAAATGTATGCACATATATTTGTAAACAAATAAATACCTAGTCACAATCTGGAGGTCAAAGTGTCCTGGAACTCACTAGATAACCCAGCCTGGCCTCAAATGCATAGCAAGCCTCCTGCCTCAGCTTGCTGAGTGATTGGGATTATAGGTATGAGTGAGTCACTGCTCCTAGCTTAAGATGTTATTTCTTAGTCCTTTAGAATATGTACTCTGTAACCTGCGTAACTGCCAGGCTAATTGGAAGGAATGTTATTATGTATGAAATTACTCAGTAAAGTTGTGAAGCACCATATAAATGTAAGGTATTGGTTACTGCATTCACGGTAGACTTTATAAGATAGAAGATTATGTCAATAGAGTTTGAAAATTAGTTCAAACATTAATTAAGTTTTGAGGAAAGATTTATCATCGTCATTAGTTCATAGCAAATAATAATGATTTGACAGTGTATTTGGGTCACTCTCTTTCAGATAATTAAATGGGTAATTCCCTCTGCCTTCATGTGCCATTTTGCTCTCAGTGTACTGTCTTTTATTCGTTTTACAAAATTTTAAATGCCAACCAAAATTGTTCTTTGATTCTGTTTTTTTAATCTCTCAGTAGAGGCTTAGGTGGTGAGCATGGAAAATCCAAAACAACTCTGACTGTTGGCTTATATTCATAATTGAGAAATGTTAAATATCTAGTAGATTTTATGAACAGTGCAGATGTTCTCTTCCCAACGTTCATCTCAATTCATGGAGTTTTTGCAGACTCCTATTATTTTTTCTGGTTACTCTGGTTTCATCAGCTAATGTCCCGGTCTATCACATACTTGTTTATATCCTCAGAAGCTGACTTTGGGTTTCTGATACTGTGATAAAACACCATGACTAAAAGCAGTATGGGGAGAAAGGGTGTATTTTAGCTTATATGTCCAGATCACAGGTCTCCGGTGAAGGAAAGTCAGGGCAGGAATTCGAGGCAGGAAGCTAAAGGCAGGAACTGAAGCAGAAGACTTGGAGGAACACTGCTCACTGTCTTTGTCACTCATATTTGTTCAGCCTGTTTTCTTATGTGACCCAATACCACTTGCCCAGGGGCAGTAGTGCCTGCAGTGGGCTACTTCAGTCACTAATTAAGCTGTCCCGCAGGCTTGCCTACAGGACATTCTGCCGGAGTCATTGTCTCAGTTGTGATTTCTTCCTCCCAAATATGTCTAGGTTTGTGTCAAGCTAACAAAAAAACCCAACTAGTATAAAAACTAAAAGTCATTTTCTTTACATCTAGAGTAGTAGGCTTATATCTTAGAAGTTATAAAAGTTAGAAGGGCTCACACCATCTAAAGCTGTTGAACTGTTGTATGCTTATAGACATCTGTTAAGTCTGACCAGATCCTCAGGTTTTATTAAAGCATTACAGTCCTGGACTCAGGCTTAGGAGCACCAGATGGCCTGTCATTGTTGGCTTCACATTCCAGAGTTGAGATTTCCTTTTTCCAGGTGTGTTGTGGTGATGACTGAAGCTAACTGTGACATTGTCCTTGTTTTACATAGCATTAATTCAGATAACAAATACATAGAAGTTCTCCAGCTTTGGCACCCCAAATACAAATTTATATGTAGCTGTGGAAACTTCCACGTAAGAACTTGATGTAAGGCTTCTTTAGTCGCTGAAAAAAAAGTTAGTAATTTTAATTTCTATTCTGCAAGGTGGCATTATGTCAGCTTGAAAGGCCAGCAGCAAGGGAAGGCATTTTAATGGGGCACTGTGTGAAGAAGGCACAGCAGCAAGATGCTGGCGCTGCTTTGCGCCTCTCTCTGCCTCCCAGGAGCGAGTGTGTTCTTAGGATTTCATAAAGTCAGCCACACAGTTGGTCTGTTTCAGGAAGGATTGTTCACATGTTTTGTTATGGAGCTGAAGAGATGGCCCTGCAGTTAAGGACTTTGCCTGCTCTTTCAGAGGCCCTGGTTCAGTTCCCAGTGACCAAGCAGTAGCTTTCAACATTCTGAAACTCCAGTTCTAGGTGGTCTGATGCCACCTTCTGGCTTCCAAAGGCAACAGGCACATATGTGGTGTGCACACAACATGCTGACAAACATTTATACACATAAGATGAAATAGATAAACCTCCATACCTAACAATAAAGATAAACCTTTCATACCCAACAAAGCAAATTTCGTAATGTACACCAGTTTCAGGTATAAAAAAAAGATTTAAACTTCCAAATTTTAGTTTTGTAATCAATTTGAATTTTTTCTCTTTAGTAGCTGGTGTGAATGTCACTTTTTTTTTTTTTTAAGAAGAAAATGTTTTGTTTTTTTGTTGAAATTGACCTCTTGTCAGGGAACATGGCTTTTAACGACAGCTTAACATCTTACCCAGAGTGCTTTTTAGGTTACTTTGCTAATAATTCCCTTAATAGTTTATTTCTCTTTTTGTCTTTTCATTGACTATGAGTGGAAAGAGTCTCTGTGAGGGATTTGCCTTCCACAGCCAGGGACTGGGCTCTCCACAGCTGTGGATCTGTTCATTGTGGCCAAGTCTTGTTGGGCATTCTTCACTGCGGTGTAATCTATTGTCTGTAATGTGAAGGCACCGTGGTACCAGTCTGTAGCTAGTGCCAGATTGTCAAGGACTTCTGGCTGCTTTCCAGACTCTGCCTATTTTCCTGTGTCTACTGGCACAGAAGGGAGTGTAGGGCAGAAAATGTATTTGGAAAGAAGAGGAATTCATATCTATATTTTAACATGTGTTTAAGATTAAAAAGCAAACTACATACACAAAATCCATTTTGTGCTGGGCAGTGGTGGCACATGCCTTGGATCCCAGCACTCAGGAGGCAGAGGCAGGCAGATCTCTGTGAGTTTGAGGCCAGCCCAGACTACAGAGAGAGTTCCAGAACAGCCAGGGCTATTATACAATATAATATTGTATATTATATACAAACAAACAAAATATCCATCTTTTTTTATTTTTTAAATAGACTCTGTAAATGCCATTTCTCACAAATGGGCACTGTATTGGTTAGATTTTTGTTTTTTTATCAACTTGACACAAGTTAAGGTCGTCTAGGAAGAGGGACCTTCAATTGAGAAAATGCGTCCATCGGATTGGTCTGTAGGCAAGTCTATGAAGGCATTTTCTTGATTAATCATTGATGTAGAAGGGTCCACTCCAAGGTGGTCCTGGGTTGAATCATAAAGCAGACCGAGCAAGCCAGGGGAAGTAAGCCAGTAAGCAGCACTCCTCCATGGCTAGACTTCAGTTCCTGCCTCCAGGTTCCTGCCTTGCTTGGTTTTCTGCCTTGGCTTCCTTCCCTCAGTGATGGACTGTTATTAGGTCATCTAAGCTGAAAGAAAACCGTTCTTCCCAAGCTGTTTTTAGTCTTTGTGTTTTATCACAGCAATCAGAAGCTAACTTAGAGCATCACTCTTGTCTGCTTCCGACATCAAGAACAGCAAACATCCATGTTTCTTTTCCTAGATAACAGAGGATAAACTAGATAAAGTATTTGCTTTCTTCATTGTAAAGCTTTGGCAGTTCAAGGCAAGGCCCAAGGCTGCCCAGTTTCTGAGACTTGTGTCCTGGCCAGGGTGAGGCTGTTGAAATTTTGGATTAGGAAGGTATAGCCTGGCCCTGCAGTCTGTGGTTTGACTTGTGTGATCTTGTGAGTTTTCTCAGAGAGTGATACTTAGGAAGTAGATCTCAGTCCACTTAAGACATGGATTGGCTAGCATTCTCAAGGAGTTAAAGTGCACACTATGCAGAACCTTACTTAGATGTGATTTCTTAGCAAGGCCCTGGAAGAAAGCTGACATTGAATTCTCTACTTACACCTGAAAGTTATATGGCCTCAGGCAAGTAACTGAGACACTGTGCTCATTGTGTGGGAAAAGGGTTAAGTGGCATAATGTGACAGTTCTGTTTAGTATGAGGTGGGGACAGCCATAGTCATTTACTCCGACTGTTCATATTTAGATCTGTGAATTAATGAAGTGTCTTATTATACCTGTAGGGATCACCCATGTATCATGTGGACTGGAGGCTGCAGGAGAATTCCAGTTTTGGTTTTCCATGCTGAGGCTATTTTGACAAAGGACAACAATATTCGAGTAATTGGAGGTAGGTGTAACCGCTCCCATAGAAGGAACATCTGGGTTTGACCCTGACAACTTTAGAAAAAGTCTGTCATACAGACAGGGAGGCCTTGGCCGTGACAGCATGCATTGGCTTGTTACTTCAGATATTATTCATAGTTTTTTAAAATTGTTTCCTGAGTGTCTCAAAACTATGTGTTTGTGTTTATTTTTCAAATTGTAATTATTTGCACATACCAGAACGTACCATTTGACCATTTTGGAGTGTGCAATTATTTGGCATTTATTGATTCACGTTTACCACTAGCGTCTAGTTTGAGGACATCTTCATCTACAAAGTAAGCTCTATCTGCATTCAAGCAGCCCTTCTCTTCCTCATTACCACCAATGCCCTGCAACTACTAATCTCTCTGTTTCCATGGATCTTCCCATCCGATTATTTTATATAAGTCAGTGTTTTTCAACCTGTAAGTTGAGACCCCTTTGTCAAACCTCTTTCTCCAAAGATTTTACATTATAATTTGTAACAGTAACAAAATTACAGTTATGCAATAGCGACAAAAATAATTTTGTGGTTGGGGGTCACCACAACGTGAAGAACTGTGTTAAAGGAAGGATGGAAACCACCGATGGAATCACACACATGGCCCTGTGTCAGCCTTCTTTCATGTAGCATGTGTTCAGTCTGTTCATGTTGTCCTTCGTGTCCTAGCTGGATAATATCCCACGAAATGCATGTACCACATCTTATTTATCCATTCATCAGCTGCTAGACATTTTATTTCATAGATAGGAGTCCTCTGGAGACTGAAGTGGTATCTCTGTGTTTTTGGTTTTCACTTCCTTAATGCCTAACAACACTGGAAATATTTACATGTGTATTTTGCTATTTGTATTTCTTTGAAGAAATATCTGTTCAAGTCTTTGCCCCTATTTTACAAATTGAGGTTTGTAGTTACTGGGTCGTGAGAGTGTTCGATCTTTATCAAATGTATGGTTTTCATTTCCCCTATTCTATAGGATATTTTTGCAGGCTTTGTTTTCTGTGAGTTGTTTTTTCCTCAGTAGCAGGTTTTTAGTGTTGATAGCACATGGCTTACCTATATTTTGTTTTTTTATGCCTTTAATAATTGTGTTTGAGAAGCCACTGCCTAACACAATTTGAATTTTTCTATGTGATTTATGGTTAAGGTTTTATATTTAGAACTGAATAGTCTTTGATCCATCTTGAGTTTGTTTTTTTAGTGTTAGGTAGAGTCTGCCATCATTCTTATGTGTTGACATATAGTTGTCCCAGCACAAATAGTTCAAGAGAATGGCACTATTGTCAAAAATCTCTGTACTCTTTTTTTTTTTGGGGGGGGGGGGGAACACAGGGTTTCTCTGTAGCTTTGGAGCCTGTCCTGAGACTAGCTCTTATAGACCAGGCTGGCCTCGAACTCTGCCTGCTCTGCCTCCGGCACTTAATTATTCTTTAAAAATTTATTTGTTTTTATTTTATGAATATTTTTCTTGCATTTGTGTATACACTTCATGTATATGCAGTGCCCCTAGAACTCAGACGAGAGATGCAGCCTCTAGAACTGTGACGCGTCCCTTTAATCCCAGCTCTTGGGAAGCAGAGGCAGGCAGATCTCTGTGAGTTTGAGGCCAGCCTGGACTACAAAGTGAGTTCCAGGACAGTCACAGCAGGTACACAGAGAAATCCTGTCTCGAGAAACTAAAAAGCTAAAAAAATAAATAAAAATAAGTAAGTAAGTAAGTAAGTAAATAAATAAATAAATAAATATGGTTGTGCGCCACTGAGTGCATGCTGGGAACTGGATCTGGGTGCTCTCTCCCAGTCCTGCCTTTGCCTCTGAGTGCTGGAATTGCATGCACAGCCACACGCAGCGTATTTTAAGTTTGAAATGGGGAATTCTTTAGGATTATTTTGGTTGTTCAAGTTTCTTTGCAAGTCTACCTAATTTTAGGATTAACTTTGCTGTCTCTGAAATACTGGCCTTTGAGGTGTAGACAGAGTCAGCTCTGCGTCCCATGGTTCAGCTGTAGCTGTTTTCACAGCTTAGGAGGATGTGGATCAGCTCTGTCAGGAGGAATGACAGAGTCCATACTTGTGTTCTTGGTCATTAGTTCATGTCTCAGCGTGGGCACGAAGTCATCTGTCTTGGATAGATCACTTCAAGTCTCTTTGCCGGTTTCACTGTTAGTTAAATGGGGTCAGTCTCTGTCTTGCAGGCATCATAGGAGCAAATGAGATTGTTTAATGTGTGGTACATAACAGGCAATCAAAACTTAGACTGCTTGTTCCTCTTGTTGAATAGGGGCTGCTCTATTTTTAAATGACCCCATAATAAGCGATTTCAGAGAGAACCATAGACTTACTTTTGGGAATTGCGTGTTCTTCTCTTCCCAAGGGCCCTTGTGCTCTAATCCCCCCAGCAAGTTGCTAACCTTCCTTTTAAAGGGATAGGATTTATTCATTTTCCTCTAAAGCCTTAATGACTGAACACTGCTGAGAAAATCCCTTAAATATGATTTGACCAAAATACAAATGTGGTTAAAACCAGCAGAAGTAAAGAAGTAACAATCCCCTCAAAATATGCTGCTCTTGATCTGCTTGTGCTAAAACAAACAACAAAATCTCTGTATTCCCATTTGTTAAAGGTGTGCCCCTCAGTTCCAGGAGCTCCATTTCTCTTCTAACTTCTAGGGGCACTGCACATACATGGAGTGCATACACCTATGTAGGATAAACACTCATACATGTAAAATAATAGTTCAGTCTGTCAGTGTTTTCTGGAACCCAGGCCTTTTAAATTGCACATTTCCATAGATAAAGGTCCTGGTGGTTCTTGTCTGTATCTAGCATTATAGAGACTAAGGCAGGAAGAATCTGTGCTTCTTAGCAAGACCCAAGTGGAAAAACAAAAGACATTAAAAACGATTTGTCTCATTATATATTATTAAATTTGTTCTTTATTTCTCTACGTTCTTTGAGGTTTAACTTTTTTACTTTTTATGTAAATAACAGTTTTAATGACTTTTGCTAATGTATACTTTTTTTTTAAGTGAAGCACAATTGATCTGTGATTTTTTTTCATCTCTAAAATAATAGGTCATGCAGTCTGCTCAGGTTTTAAGTCTCTGATAAGTTATCCGGGGGCATTAGCTATGTTCTGTTGACCCCATAGTGTTACACTCTGACTTCACAGTTCTATATATCTGTTGAAAGTTTTAATTTGATTTTATATTCTTTCTATGCTTTATTTGTGAAATACTCTAGGAATACGACTTTTTCTTCCATAGAACCCCTCCCTGATTGTATGTACTTTCACATGTAAAAGGGATTGGTTTTTAGTGGTAACACGGGTATTTTCAGCTTAAAGTAAATATCTCATAGAATGAGTATCGTTTTATAATCTTCCCATCATGTCCATTTAGTGAATTTGTATTTTTGTAGACCAGCATTGGAAGTGTGATGCAAGCTACATGTGTAATTTTAAATTGGAAAGGTGAAGCTAGTTTTAATATTGAATTTTATTTAACCCAAGATATCCCAGTATAATAATTTTTCGCATTTATTCAATATAAAAAACTCAGAAAATTTTATGTTGAATGTGCTTTTTACACTTACAGCAGTATCTCAACTTGGTACAGAATTCTTTCTGGAAGTATTTGATATGTGTTTAGACTTCATAACATTGTATTTGAAAAAGTAAATTCATGGTGCTGTTCCACAGGTGTTTTCTGACGTTGTTTGTTAAGACAGTCTTCCTCTATAGTACAGGCTGACCTGGAGCTCTCCAGCCTCGACTCTTTGGTTTTTGTTGGGTCCACGGGGGTCAGGCAAAGATGGGGGACAAACCACCTAAGTCTGTTACACCAGAAACAAACTTTATTCCAGGAAAAAATATAAAAAATTAAAAAAAAAAAACCTCCATGGGGCACAAAAAGCGTATCAGCTAGCTAAGACCACAGCCAGAGATGGATTTGCAAGGCTGCGGCAATGGATGGTTTCCTAACTCCCCCTTTTTATAACAAGAAGCAGAAAGCATTAGACATGAACAAAAGAATTTTTACAATCTCAAGGTAAAACTCAGATACAAATTGCTTTTATTTTATTTTATTTTTAATTTCCATTAACAGGGTTTTTCTGTTAAACTAGTGTTTGTATTTAGCCCATTGTCTCTCTCTCTCTGGCTTTTTCTGACCGTGTTTACCAAAGTTCTGCACTTACCCTGAATATGCCAGTTTCACATAGCAGGAAGGGTATGGGAAAATGCACAACCAAAAGGTCAGGTCCATCCTACCGTTTAAAAGATAACTCAGCTCACTCACATCAGTTGCTGGTCATAGAGTGGCTCAGGGCTTATCTGAAAGCTGACCCTCAGTTTGCAGAGGACTACTTCAGCCTTGCAGACAGAGCTGTGGGTTGTAAAGCGGAGTAACCCGCTGTTAATAGTTAATCCTCAAGCTGCTGAGAAAGCTGCTGACAGCCTGCTCTCATTCTCCTAGGCATGGCCAGAGGACACCTTTGAGGAGTTGATTCTCTCCCACTGTGTGGGTCCCTGTGACTGAATTCAGATGGCCAAGCTCTCTTGCTGGCTCTATTCCTATATTTTGAAAATCAAATGTATCATTTATATCTTCTTTCTTGGTTCCCATATTGTAGCCTGGACTGGTCTTAAATTCTAGATTCTCCTGCCTCAGTCTCCCAAGTGCTGGGATTTTAGGTGTACAACACCATTCCCACCCCATGCTATTTTTAAATTTTTTATTCTAATTTTATGTTTGAGTTTTGTCTGTATATGAGTGCACTGTGTGTATAAAGTGTGGGTGTAGGCCAGAAGAGGGCACCAGACACCCCGGATCCTAAGTTACCAGCTGTTTTTAGCTGCGCTTTGAGTGTTGGAAACCAACCTTGATACCTCTACAGAGTAGCCAGTATTCTTAATACCGAGCCACCTCTCCAGCTCTGCCTCATGCTATTTTTTCTAAGTCCCTTAGGGATGCCATTATTGTCTTGGGTTCCTCTGTGCTAACGGTTGGTTCCTTGTTTTTGTCTGCTTTGTTGCAGCCAACCTTGAACTAGTGTTCTATGTTACTTCTTAGGTATATGCGAGCATTTTGGGGGAAGAAGTTTCAGTCTGTGGTAGAACTGATGTGAAGGTTCTTCAGGGGTTGAGAAGCAGGATATTTGGCAGTTTGCTGGTATCCAAAGGATCAGGTCCTGCTTCCTGTTTCCACATGGATGAATATAGAGGCGCAGGGGGTTCTTCTTGGGCAGTTGGGCGGGTTCAGTTTGCAGTCACAGTTGTAGCGTAAGTTTATCTTGGGAAAGGAGAGGGAGGAGGATGGGCACTGCCACCCCTTTCATTAAGCCCTCAGTGGAATGAGTGATGCCTGCCCCCATTGGAGATGGAAATTTGCTTCACTCAGCCTGCAAATTTAAATGCTAGACCCTAGTCCTAGTGACTGTTTTTTTCCTCCTTATGTCTCTCAATTTGAACCAACCTCCACATAGCTGGAGTTGTAGGTACTGTATTTGGGAAGCGAATAATTTGTCTCAGGTCTACTGATGGAGAACAGTTTTGTCCCAAGGTGAACCATATTGATTTAGATGATTTAGATGATGAAATTTGAGAATTTTGAGGTGATAAATTTAAATTAGATTTTAGACTTTGGGTTGTGTTGACAGGGATGTTGGGACGGGTTGAGTTTATTTTGCATGTGAGAGAAGTATGAATCTTAGGAAACAAAGGGTGAGTTCTGATAGGGCCCCTTATGTGCCTCTGTCTTAATCTCTGGAACCTGTGAATATAAACCTATGTGGATGGTAAAGGGGAATTAAAGTTGCTAATTGGTTGACCTTCAAGCAAGAAGATTAGCCTGGATTAGCCAAGAGTGTCCAGTTTAATGTAACCAGAGGGTTCCTTAACATGGAAGGAGGAGCCAGTAGGACTAGAGTGGTACAAGGTGAAAAAAGACTAGATCTGCCATTGTTGCCTTTGAAAGTGAGAAAGGAAGCATAAACCACAAAGCACTGGGTGGAGCTGGCCATTGGGAACTGAAAAGTAAAGGACCCAGATCCCACCCGGAGCCCACAGAAGGGAGCACAGCCTGATTGTCACAGCCTTGCCTTAGACTGGTGGGGCCTGTGTTACTGGGGACTGGTGTGGGGGGTGGCTGCACATTTGTGTTTAAGCGACCAGGCTTGTTACAGCAGCAGAAGCAAACCAGCATCCCAGCTCACTGTCGTGGGGAGGGATTTGCGGTTGTTTTGTAATTGCATTACCATCTAGCTGTTGGTTGCTTTGTCACTTTTATGTTAGATGGTCTCAAACTTGTCCCATGAAAGCCCACTCAAGCTAGTTGTGACTAGTTTCTAATCAGTTTTGAACATTTCTGTCTTGGATCTAAAAGGATGGTTCAAGCCTCCCAGCTTCCAGTCTCAGCACTCTGCACGGCTCTTGACATTCTGTTCTGCACAGAAACAAATGCATAGGATTCTGCCTGTTTTTCTTACAGTGATATTATAAAGACAACGAAGTGGCGGGGGGCTTCTGGGAAAAGCCTGTGGGCTTTAGGAGAAAGTCTGGCTTGCCCACATTCGTCTTTATGATTCAACTTTGCATAGAGTGAATACCAAAGATTATAGTAGGTCACTTAATGTGTCTGTGGGAGCAGCAAGGATTTACGAAGCTTTTCATATAAATTCTTCAAAAACGTAGTGCCTTTGATGATGAGGTTTGAACATTGTGCTACCTATTTGCAGATATCTGCACTGTTCTCATTCAGAATTGTTTAGGATATGGTGCTTTAAAAGCACTGATCCGGAGCCAGGTGCTCAGGTTCGTGTCTGTAACCTCAGCACTTGAGGGACTGAGGCAGGAACATCAATTCACTCTGGAGTGGCTGGAGTGAACTTTGGAAAAAACAACAGTAAAAAGAGTTCCTGTAGAATTCTTAGCTAGCGTTCTGTTTGTAGGAGCATATAGAAAGATTTAGTGCTGTAGCTCAGAGTAAATGCTCACATGATTACAGGTTTTCCTCTCAGGGTCAAGACACAGGTTGTCTCCAGTGACTAGGAGGAAATGCATACAAGGGCAGGAGGCTCATGCCAAGCTGCACTGGTAGTATGGGCCTGTCTTAAAGGGGGCGGTTGGAGGTCCCTGCTCGTCTCTGCCTATCGGGGAGACCCCTGGTCTAAGATGTTCTGGCAGTCAGCATCTGAGGACATGAAGGACTGTCTGCAGCAGTTCTCGTAGCCTGTTAAGTACAGCAGACCTCTTTCTCAGTCTCGAAAAGTCCAAGGACTTTCCCCAGAGTAATGATTTTAAAGTGGAAAAATAGACGAATGATTAGAAAGGAAATGAATTATGTTGAAATATAGTAATTAAAATATTAAAAAGAAAAATAGCTGGATGAGGTGGTACATGCCTCTAATCCTTGACTGTAGGAGTGCGTGTTTTGAGTATTAGGCCAGCTGAGGCTAATACTCAAAGAAACTTTGAGTCAAGAAACTAAAAAATAAAAATGTAACCCAATCCCCAGATTCAAGTCATATGTAATTTTTATTAGTCATTGGTTTGTTAACTACCATAACTTATAAGTACTCTGAACATTAACAACTGTGAAGTGAACTTAATGCCTAGCAACTGTCTCTTGCTGGCAGAGCCACAGGAGAGTCACACTGCCTGCCCTTGATGCCTACACTCCTCATTGAAAGCATTGTTGTTGTTGTTCTGGATGTTTGAGGCAGGGTTTCTTTGTGTAGCCCTGGCTGTCCTTGAAGTCAATTTTGTATAGCAGGCTGGTCTTGAACTCACAGAGATCTGCCTGCCTCTGCCTCCCAAGTGCTGGTATTAAAGGCGTGTGCTACCACCGCCTGAAAGCATTGTTAAATTTCACCTGGAAACTAGTGAAAATAAAGATGATGTAGGTTTTGTTCCCCTTTTTGTATTGAGTGAACCCCACCATCTCTTAGCTTAAAAATTCTTGGTCTTTGGCTGAAAGATGGTGCAGAGTATGGAGTGCTTGTCCTGCAAGCCTGAGGACCCGAGTGCAGTCCCTGGAGCCCAGTGAAAGCACATGAGAGGGAATCAGCTCCACAGAGTTGTCCTGTGTACTCCACACACATCTTAGTATGGGCATCCTTTCCCATCACAATTTAGTACTAAAAATATATTAGAGGAAGCCTTGGCTCTAATCCTTAGCTGATTTGTAGTCACTTTAAGGACAGCAGTATAACACCAGTGAGTACATTAATCAAGTTTCCATGTTGCTGTTTATTTTTGTCTTTGCAATTAAACTTTCTGGCTATTGAACTTGGTTCTGTGTTTTTGTTTAGAGCGTTATCATTTGTCTTATAAGATTGTGAGAACGGACAGTCGCCTGGTGCGAAGCATTCTGACAGCCCATGGATTTCACGAAGTAAGCTCACTTTTACAACCTTACCTCACCTAATCGCCTCAAAAGCCGAAATCCTAGCTACCTAACTGACTTTATCCATCCGCAGAGGCAGCGCTAGGAAGCGCACGGGACCAGTGATTAGAGACTCTGCAGAACTTGGTACTACCAGCAGTTTCTCCTTGTGGTACACGGGAAGCATTTCCACAGGATCCCCCCTCCCCTTTTCTTTTAATGATCTTAGATTTGGGCCAAGTCGCCCATCAGACATTGTCTGATCTAGTTGGGGTTCTTAGGTTCAGACAGAGTTAGTTGCCCATCAGACGTCATCTGTTACCTAGTGGGGTTCTTTGGTAGCACAGAACAGAAGCAGACTCTGTCACTGAAACAAAGACAGAGTTGCAGCGTGCTATGGAGAGGGTGGCTCACAGGCGCTGAGGCTTATATAGAAGGGGTGAGGCCACAGCAGCCTCGGGCACTAAAGGGCAGGACTCTCTAGTTTTATCTCAACACACTGCTTTGGAAGTTACTGGCTCCATTCATTGTCTTTTTCTTTTTCTGGTGGTAGAATTATTGGGCCAACTTAGGTTACAGATCTTAAGGAGTGGGGAAGAGGGAGATGGGCAGATAGCAGGTGCTTTAATATCCTGGAGCAAGTCGTTCCTCTAAGAAATCTGCAAAACAAGATGTTGTCATAGAAAGGGTGCTACACAGTCCACCACTACTGATATTCCGAGACCACTGATGAAAGTCTGGTCACTAGCTGCTTATTATAAGTTGGTACCAATAGGGGGCACTTGGGGACCTCAAACTGTTGATGCCATCTTGTTGCTTTTCTATCCAAATCATTTGTCTTTGTCCTAATGTGTTTTATGGGCAGAGTACACAATTAATAATGAGTGGAAAAATGAATTCTAATGAATGATTAAAGGAAATCTAAGGCTTAATACTTTTCTTAGATTTACTGTTCTAATTTTAATTGCGTGTCTATGTGTAGGTATGTGCATGAGAGTGTAGGTGCCCAAAGAGATTAGAAGCATCAGCGTCCCCTGTGCTAGGGCTTATGGTGGTTATGAGCCATCCAGGATAGTTGCTAGGAATTGAACCTAGGTCCTTTGCAAAAAAAAAATAGTACATACTCTTGACCCCTGAGTCATTCCAAGTCTGGCTTTAGTTAGGATCTACAAGTACATAAGGGAGGTCTGGAAACAGAAGGCGTCTGGAGTTCAGTTCTGAGACATACTTTGATATGTAAGTGTATCAGACATCATTGACTTGCCCAGAAGGGTTATTTTATTTTATTGTCTGTGTATGAGACCTCCCAGCTCCCCCCCTTTTTTTAACCCTCATTGTCTTGTTTGCTGTGGTACTCTGCTGTGATAATAGGCTTGTATATAGTCACAGGGCCATGCCGAGAGTCCTCTGTAGATGAGAAACCACTGACTTTCTCTGTCATTGCTCTTCTGGAGACAGGCTGCTGCTTATTTTGGTTCATTTGTTTTCCATGTATCTAGGTTCACCCGAGCAGCACTGACTATAACCTGATGTGGACAGGATCCCATCTGAAGCCCTTCTTACTTCGAACTCTCTCTGAAGCACAGAAAGTTAATCACTTCCCCAGGTAAAGCTCCTGTAGGTGTTTAAAGGTCGCTGTCATTGGAACGTGTAGCCAGAGGAGAGATGCAGTGTTCTTGGGGAACTTGGGAAGTACCATAGCCCATGCTGGAGACTGAGGTGTTCCTATCCCTGGGAGGTGGAGACTCTTCAAGGGCTGTGGAGATGTGAAAGGTTTTAAAGAGACAATTTCCATTTCTCTGTCCTGACATTGAGGTGGTTCACAGTGTGTTCTTCAGTGAGTGAGACCCCCTCTCACCTCTCTTCCCGCTGTCACATCGTCATTTCTGCTAAAGAGTGACTCAACTCCTGGCTTAATATGGAGCGTTTTCCTTGGGCACAAAAGATTTTGGGGTTCCAAGGTGTGATGGCACATGCTTATAAGCCTTGCATTTGGGACACAGAGCAGGAGGCTGAGTTCATGCCTGCCTTGGCTACAGAACAAATCAAGGCCAGCTTAGACTGTGTGAGACCCTGTCTTTCTTGAAGAAAAGGAAAAAAGAATAGGATGTCAAAGACACAACAAACAAATTGAGATCAGATTCTAGTGATAGCCTAACACTCCCTTTTTACACGGTGGTGGTTTCCATTTGTTTGTTTTAAACTAATTGAGAGATAACAGTCTGGTTGTAGTAGCACTCACTCTAATCTACACTCTCCCGTGTCTTGGTGACCTTTACTTTGTAATGCCCATGCTGCTTGCTCAGCATTTTCTGGCGTCTCCTTCCCAGTGTCCCCTCTGGCCAGAAATCCTGCCTAGTTATTGGCCATTCAACTTTTTAATTAAACCAATCAGAATGACATTTCTTCACAGTGTACAAAAAGATTATTCCACAACAGGAATAATCATTAATTTTAATGACAGATCATTTTGTGTTTGTTTATTTTGGGACAGGGTTTCATACTGGAACTCTGTTAGGTGAAGTCTCAGATATTTAAGATATTTAATTCTTATAGTCTGAAATTTTAAGTATATTTATAAAAAGTCAGATAAACTTTTTTTAACTTGTGTTCAAAATCTTTTTTAAAATGGATTTTATACTTGTAAATCAGGTTTTAAAAAGCGCATTTGGAGTAAAGATCATAGGTGCAAATTCTAAACATAGACCCTGTAAAAAGGAAGTCTTGATGATCTTTCCTTAGACAGAGGTTTCTTAGAACAAAGTTTGGTGCATAAAAGGACAAAAACACAAGGGGACTTCATCAGAGTGGAAAAACTTAAGAAAGCGAGAAAACAAGTCATAGTCTGGAGGAGTATTTGTAAACTTTCTCTGATTATGAGTTTATATCTAAAGTGTATCACAGACTCTGATAACTTAGTAGTAAGAAAACAATCATAGTTTTCAAAATGGAGAAAAGACTTAGTGAATACCTCTCTCTCTCTCTCTCTCTCTCTCTCTCTCTCTCTGTGTGTGTGTGTGTGTGTGTGTGTGTGTGTGTGTGTGTATGTGTGTGAAATCACATTCATTAAAATAGGTAAAACTTTAAATGCATATGTCAAGGAAAATTTATGTGTAGTCAGTGTAGGAGCCCACTCGTACAAGGTCAGCCAGGGTTCCTGGATAGGGGATCCCCGAGGCCAAAGAAAAGTCAGAAGAAACAGAAGACAGGATAGAACTGGGAAGTCTGTCTGGTCATGCCGAAGCAGCCAAACAGCCCAGTGTTTATTTCAGTACTTGCTTATATACAAAAACAGAACAAAGCACAGCACAGACGGCCAGTCAGTATCTAACCACAAGACCATTCCTGTCCTTGAGTGAGCAGCCTCCTCTCCAACATGTGCTTGCTGCTTGGAAGCAGCCTTCCTTTCTATCTTGATGTTCCTGAGGTTTATCATCAGCAGTATACTGTCTACTAGAAAGAGTGTTCTTTTCTCATGGGTTAAGTCAGAAGTTTCTCAGAACCCTCAAGGTAGTAAGAAAAAGTAGAGCAGGCAAGCTTGAACTCAAATGACTTCTTTAAGTCAGAAATGACTCCAGATGAAAACTGAGTCACACGTGGGCTCCCACAGGTCAGTTAAAGATAATTCAACACCATTAGTCATTAGTGAAATACAAATTAAAATCGTATGAGATTTTAATATATACCTATTAAAGTGACTTTAAAAATCAGATAACACTAAGTGCTTCTGGTTGGGATGTATGGTGACTAGCACGCTAGTACATTGCTGATGGGGGTGCAAAATGGTGCAACTACCTTGGATACTTGGAAATTGTGAAATAGCTATTGATCTTGATTTTCATCTTCTAGAATGTGTGGTATCACCAGAGTGTCCTTTTATATGCTAGCCAATTGCCTGGTGACTGACAGGCCCTAGGTGGTTTCAGGATGCTCACAGGCTCCAGAGAAGGCTAAGTCCTGGTGAGAAGGTTGACGTTTCAGTCTGCCCCTCAATCTTCAGGAAGGGAAGGGGCTGAAGTTTTAACATGATCACCAGACAGTCATACCTACTTAGTAATGCTTCCATTCCAGCCCTGAAGCTCTAGGTTTGGAGAGCTAGAGAGCTGAACATGTGAGTCCTGGCAGGGGGAGGGCAGGCTGCTCTGTATTCCCTCCTCCACATCTCATTCCATGTGCATCTCTTTATCTGCATTCTTTATGCATGCCTTACAGTCAGCCAGGAAGTGTTTCACTGGGTTCTGTTGCCCCTCAAGCAGACTCTTTAAGCCCTAAGGAAAAGTCTGGGATAACTGGTCAGAGGCACAGGTCAAAATCTGCCTCTTGGGACGAGAGCCTTGGGGACTGAGCCTTCATCCTGAGGGGTTGGATACCTCCTCCAGGTAGACAGTGTCAGAACTGAATTAGAGGACACCCAGTGGCATCCGCAGTGACATTGCCTGCTGGTAGGGGAAAGCTCCCCCCCCCCCAACTGGTGTCAAGAGTGTTGAGTGATTATGTGGAGCTGAGAGTGGAGCCTAGGAAAGCGCTCTGGTATTCCCTCCGCATCTCAGAATATGGTAGGAGAAACTGAGTCTGTTTTTCCAGTGTCCTCAGAATGACTGCTGGCAGCTCTTCTAAAGTTAAACATATACTCTGTGGTGATTGTAAAATGTGTCTGTAAATTCTTTGACACTTCCTTCAAAAGGTTGAGCTAAATTTTTCTGTTCTTGAGTGTCAACTAGACTTAGTGACTTGCCTCTAACAAATGGAATGTGGCAGACGTGTTGCTATGCCATGTTGGAGACTAGGTCATTACAGACGTTGCCACCTCTTCCTTGGATCAGGGCCTCGGAGTAGCCAGCAGCATGTCACGAAAGTATGCAGCCCATGGAAGGGTTTACCTGAAGAGCTGAAGCTGCTCTGCCAGCTGGTTCCATCCCTGTGAGCAGACTGAGCTGTGCATGCTCCACCCCAGCTAGGCCTGATGATGGCAGTGTAGGCACGCATCTGCACTGTGACCTCATCGGCTGGCTGAGCCGGAGCTGCCAGGTCTGCCATCATCCCACACCGCTGGCCACAGAGACTGACATCATGAATGTGAACTACTATTTTAAGCTGCTATATTCCGAGGCTGTTTATTATCTAGCAATAGATAATTTGGTAAACTACATAGCAGGCCCACACCTGGGAAAATGGAAATGTTTGTATAAAAATTTGATGTTTATATAAAAATCTTTATGTAAGTGCTTTCAAGCATCTTTACTCACAATCTTCTCTACACTGGAAGTAATCCAGATGTCCTTCAACTGTTGAAAAGATAAACAAACTGTGATATATCCACACCACAACTCATAACTTAGCACATAAAAGAATAAAATACTGATATATGCAACCAGTAGGATAAAGTGAGATGTTTCATGCTCAGAGGAAGGCTGCATATTGCAGGATCCTGCTTATCTGTTTGGGAAGAAGTGAAAACACATGTTTGCCCTGTGTCTGGAAAAAGAAATGCCTGCAAGGGAATCGAAGCTACCTTGGGATATTAGTATTACTCTGTATTTTGATTGTGGTGGTCATTACCTAATCAACACATCAGAATTAAACATGGAAAATCAGTGGGTTATTCTACATAAGTTGTATCTTTATGAGTAAATCTGATCAAGAAATGTCTATTTGAGGAAAATGTTTCCTAAGACTTTTGGAGTAGCAGCGTGATACTGGGATAATCTACTGTCTTCAGTAACTGCTTCAGAACTCGGGACTATGAGTTCTCCACAGTCTGGTAATAGAGGAAGCCTTTGTAGGTGTGATTCACTGAAATGGAAAAATTCTCTTGCTTTGCAGATCGTATGAACTAACCCGGAAGGACCGACTGTACAAAAACATCATTCGAATGCAGCACACGCATGGATTCAAGGCTTTCCACATCCTCCCTCAGACCTTCCTCCTGCCAGCCGAGTACGCGGAGTTCTGTAGTAAGTGCTGGCTGAGGTGCCCTTGCACCTGGGCTTGAGGCAGATTTAACTTTGACATCGCTGACCTTAGAGCTTACTGGGGCTTTCCAAGTCTTTGAAAATTTTTGCTTAATTGGGAAGTACAGTTATAGTCATATAATTTAAATTATTTGTGTTTGGGTGGTGCTCGTGTATGTTTAATTTTGGTAGGATGACAGTATGGCAGTAGTTTATGTAAGGACACACAGTTGTCATGCAGGCACGGCCTGTCTTGGTTAGTTTTGCCCATTCATCTCTTCATTGTTGAGAGTAAGTGTGGCTTGAGGCCTTTAGCCCCTGTGAGTGTGAACTGCAGGTTTCCTTTTTGGTGTCCCTTCCACTTCTCACTCGAATGTCTTGCTGCTTTGTCTTAATTTGTACTTGCTCATTTGTCTTTTGAGGCAGGGTTTCACTGTGTGTCTCCAGCTGGCCTAGGACTTGCCATGTATGTAAATTGGGCTGGTCTCGAACTCAGAGTTCCACCTACTTCTGCCTTCTGTGCTGAGTGCTGAGACCAAAGGTTGCCGCATGGCCAGCATCAGGAGTATCAGGCTAAAAGTCCAAATAGGCCTCTAAAGACGTGAGTTAGAGAAGCTGTGAGCATCATTGAGACCTCAAAGAGGGGTTGCTGGGGGTGGTGAGGGTGGTTGCTTAGGCTGGCCTCAAACTCCTGGGCTTCCCTGGGAATTGAGTTACAGGTGTGAACAACTCCTGCCCACCAGGACTTGGAAGTCTAAGCAAGAATATAAGCAGTACCGTACAAGAGGATCTGTTACAGGAACGAAGACTGTTCAGTTTGGATGTAGTGTACATTTGAGGAACTCTGGGGAGAGCATGCAGTGATGTTTTGGAGCTCTGAGTTTGGCTAAATATACAGAATCTGGGGGTTCCAGATGAAAGTGATGACTAAGAGATACAAGAAGATAGAGAAGCAGGCACACAGAGAAGCAGGCGGAAAGAGAGATGGTAGGAGAACTTGGGAAGGAGGTCTCAGAAGGGGCAGTAGCTCCAGTAGAAGAGCGAACTTTAGAAAGGAGCTGGGACATCTTCCCTAAAATGGGGGTGGGTGGGTAGCAAACTCAGTGCTGGCCAGGTAAGACTTTGCATATAGCAGAAGGCGGTGGCTAGGTTCATGTGATGAATTCTCAGCCTGCCTAGAAAGGATGGTGGTATGGTCTTATGCCAAGAGTGAGGGCAAAGTGTGGGGTTGTGCAGAAAGGTCCTGATAGGATCTTTGACAGGATTGAGCATGATTTAAAGTTTTTCATAGCCACTGGGAAGATGAGCCAAGGTGATGTCAAGATAATTAGCTTTTAGTCAAAATAAGAAAAAGGCTTAAGTTTGTATGTGGAGAGATTGAGCCCAGGCCAGAGGGGTGAAAGCCTGAGGGTCGCCTGAATTGTTCACTGAGTCCTCAGTGAGCAGGGCTGGGAATATGCCACACAGATTCTTCTTGGTCCCGTGTCCAGCTAATGTTTTGTAGAACTGAAGGTCCGTGACCCTGGAGAACCTGCCTAGGGATCTGTTGCCCACTCCAGCCATTTCCCTCAAGGAGACAGAAATGACAAGGAAGATGAGGGTGACAGCAGTGTGGGTAACACAGAGCTTTCCCCGGAACTGTGTTCTTTGAGGGTGACAACAGTGGGTAACACAGAGCTTTCCCCGGAACTGTGTTTTTTGAGGGTGACAGCAGTGGGTAACACAGAGCTTTCTCCGAAACTGTGTTCTTTGGCATTTCCATGCACAATGGAGGCTGAGAAGTAGCTCTGAGATGTGGACACAATTGTGGTAATCATGTAGCTTATTACAGATACTCAGATTTCAGTGCAGGATGTTAATTTCTAGGACCATGATTTTATAAGAGGCAAATGACATGAAAGCCGTCATTTTGAAGACAAGACTAAGGAGTTTAAGAACATTGTCCAGTAGCATCCTCATCCCTGAAAAACTTCTGCTCCTGCTCCTGGTTCAGTGTTCTTCCAGTGTACTGAACACGCTGTCACTGGAACTGGGAAGTGATGAAAAGGGCTTCAGATTGTCTATGATGTCTTCGTCCAAGCAGACTGCTCCAGCCTCTGCCCTGCTTTTGCCCCTGATTTTTCTTGCTTTTTGCTCATTTTTTTTAAGTTGCAGAAAAGAAATAGATCTTTGTTCTAAAAGATCCCAAATCAGAGTAAAAATGCCAGCACAGGAGATGCATTCTGACATTAATTCTCATAGAACATGCCAGTAATGAAGCACCAGAAGCAGAATTCATTTTTTTTTTTTTAAGAAAAAAGTTTTTCTTGCAGAGTTGGGATTTGAACACAGCATTCTGGCATGCTGTGGAAGTGTATGGCCACTGAGCTACCTCCTAATCCCAGAGCACGAGCTCACAGAGCAGAGTCCATTGAACAGCAGGCTAGTAGCAAATGCTACATGTCTCTAGACTTAACCTTCTCTGAAAATGAGAGTTTTCAACGTCCGGTGGCGCTGTGGAGGGTACTGTCTGCAGGCAGCTTTGGTCAGCCTCGCAGAGGGCTCACGGCACCCAGTGCTTCACAGCTCCCAGTGTCTGGAAGCTTGTTTAATGTCTGTCTGATTGCTCGTCTGCACTTTGTGAGGTAGAAGCCTTTTCCTACTGTGTATTCCACTCTAGGAAGCAGATTACATACATAAAGGTTTCCAATGAATCAATGTACGGAGCTTAGAAGATGTATTTCATATATATATATAATATATACACATACATATATTAATAGCTTCTTGTCTTGAAATCCACTGCAAAAGCCTCTCAAGGGAGAGAGGATTATTTTGTCCTGCCGTTCCAGAGGCTGCAGTGCTCCATGGTGCAGAATCTGCTAGGGAGGAAGGGACTGTGAAAGGAGCAGGAAGCTGGCTGGTCACATTGCGTCTACACTCAGGAAGTGATGAGTGAGCAGCAAGTGGGGCTGGGCTGGGAAGGCTCAAGGGCCACCCCCAGCGGCCCACTTCCTCCAGCAGGGTGCCACCTCTGTGAGGTTTCCATAACTTCTTCAAACAGTGCCACCAGCTGGGGGCCAAGTGTTTGACCTGAGCCTATGTGGGACATGTCATACAGCATACTCAGCCTCATGCTTCCTCAGAGATCTGAGGGAGGTCGTAAAAGAATGACATATTTTGTGTTTAATAACGTCATATCATATAGATTTAATTTTTTTCTCATATGTAATTATAAACTTTCTTTCTATAACACTATTTTGACATGATACAAATTATGCTTTTTTGAAGGAGTAATAGATTTCCATGGTGTAAAACTAAATAAAACAGTAATCAGGGAAGAAACCTCCTTTTCTTTTTTAATTTATTTTTATTTTTGTGCACATTGATGTTTTGCTTGTGTGTATGACCATGAAAGGGTGTCAGGTCCCAGATAGTTGAGAACTGATGGGAATTGAACCCAGGTCCTCTGAAAGAGCTGTCAGTGCTCTTAACCACTGAGCCATCTCTCCAGCTGCAAAGAACCTGTTTTTGTTCATGGATCTCAGCTATCTCCCTGGGGCTCACCAGTGTTTGCTACTAGTTTTTTGCATGTCTTTCTGGGGACGTTCTTAGCAATCACTGTCAGACAGCTTGAATGTGTGTGGGTATGGAGGGAAGCATGTGGTGGCTATTGCCTTTTGCTTTCTTCTTTTCATAGACCGTTCTACATCAGTTAATTAACAATATTCTCATTGCATACGTTTGTTGAGGTTTCTCTTGTGTTGATCAGGTGTCTGCAAATGCAGCCTTTGAGATATCCCATCCTCTTCCTGTTTGCAGCCGTCCCTGTGAGCTAAGGGTGCATTTTACATTTTCAAATGGTTGAAGTCAAGATGACTATAACTTTGTGGCATGTGGAAATGGCACGGAATTCAGTGTAAATGAGGTTTTATGGGAACACAGCCACTGTCCTTTGTTTGTATATTGTCTGTTTTCAAGTTACAGCAGTAGAGTTGAATTCTTACACCAGAGCTTGCATTTCCTATAAAACCAAAAGTACTTATGGCTCAGCTTTTCATAATTAGTTTGTAGCCTGCAGCCCCTCACATAGGTATGATAGAGTAGATTTAATTAAATTAATCTCTTGCTTTTATAGCCCAGCATGGGATAACTTCACAAATATATACACACAATGCGGGAATTTAATTTTTTTTTTTTTTTACCCCCTCAAGACAGGGTTTCTCTGTGCAGCTTTGGAGTGTGTCCTGGAACTCACTCTGTAGACGAGGTTGGCCTCGAACTCATAGTTCTGCTTGCCTCTGTCTCCCAAGTGCTGGGAACAAAGGTGTGCGCCACCACCACCACCTGGCTAAAGATTTATTTTTAAATTTTTAGCGTGTGTGTGTGTGTGTGTGTGTGTGTGTGTGAGAGAGAGAGAGAGAGAGAGACAGAGAGAGAGAGAGCGAGAGAGCGAGAGAGCGAGAGAAGTGTATGCAGGTGTCTGAGGAGTCCAGAAGAGTCCCTGGATTTGGAGTTGTAAGAGGTTGTGAGCTACGTGACATGGGTACTGGGAACTAGAGAATCCTCTGGAGGAGCAGCAAGGTCTCCTAGCTGCTGAACCCTGTTTCCACCCCATACATGTTCCACACTCATGTGACTAGAGGTAGAGGATGCAGTTCTAAACCTATTTAGTATCTAGATGCTTTAGATTATACATAGTACTTTTTTTCTTCTGGTGCTAATTCTGTTACATTGCATCCAGGGAAAAAGCAAGGCAAGATGGGGTAGACAAAGGTACTTAGGTCCCTCACCAGGTCCCCTTCAGGTAAAGTGGTTTGTGGTAGAGCCAAAGTCAAGTTCCTGTTTGGGGCATAAAAAAAACTTAGACTTCGCACAGGGGAGATGGAAGAGGAGGCTGATGAGTGGTCTGGGAAGATATGCCGTCCTGGGGCTGTTGCTGGTGCCAGGCTCTTGGCTCCTGGAGTCCTGAAGTCTGCCTGGGTGGTACCCTGCTCAGGGTCAGGGGACATTTGTGTCTCACGTGGGAAGAGCGGAGGTGGGATTAACACGCACAGGTGGCAGCTCTTGGCCTTTTAATAACTCAAACCAGAGACTATAAACTTGAGGGAACTTTATTGGGTTTATGCTTTTGTGTTCTGGATAAAATGATGTTATCCTGATGCAGAACAGCTGGGTGTTTGAGAGGCCAGAAACACTTTCACTCCCGTGATTTTATTTCTTCACACACTGCACCCTTTAGAGAAGAAAAATGGCAAGAAACCAGTATCTTAGTTTTCAGCTTTTCCTTCTTCCATGGAAACGGTGGGTGTGGGATTCATCTGAAGAGGAAGGGACTGAGGTAGAGTGGAGATTGCCACCAGCTCTCTCTTTCCTGGGGTTTCCCTCAGCAGTTCCCCATGAGTCTGTCCCCCAAATCCTAGGATATTCCCCAAGTGGCAATCAGAACCCTCAGCTTCTTCCCAGACCCTGAAGGAGTCCCGGGGAGTCTCAGTGTCAAATTTCTGCTTTTTCTTCTTATGACCCAAAGATACTTACAAACAGACCTGAAGCTGGTGAGCTGTAGGCCACCTTGTGCTTGTGGATTATGTTGCTTCCTTGCCCTATCACACTGCCTGGTTTACGAGATCTAAAGAATTATTCAAAGGAAGTAGCTGTAGTTGGAGATATAAAAACTCAGTTGTCTCTATCTATTGGCAGTCCTTCAGTTAACAAAAATGAGATTTTCAGTTTCCTGAGGTTGTTTTTGGTAACAGACTAACATTCAGATTTGACCTTATTTTGTTTCCATCCTTATGTAAGAAAGAGGAAATAGTGGAAGATATAATTATGTGAGTAATTTGCTATCCTCCCCTTTCTTCTGCTTCTTCCTGCCTAAGTTCCCTTTTTGGGGCAACTCTAAGACAGTGATGCACTGCTGCTCCCCAGCTGCAGATTTGGAAGGCTCTTTGGGTACCTAAGAGATTACTGTTGTTGCAGTTTAAGATAATAAACTCATGTTCCTTCTTTTTTTTTCTCTTCCCTTTTTATCTCCCAATATTTTGATCAGATTCATATTCAAAGGACCGGGGACCTTGGATAGTAAAACCAGTGGCCTCTTCTAGGGGGCGGGGCGTCTACTTGATCAACAATGTAAGTATGCAGAGAATTGCAGACCTGGCACTTCTTGAGCAGGTATTTCCTTCTGCACTGAGTTCAGACGTGAGTGGAGGCTGGGCGTGCTTTTCTGTTCACTCTTTTGGGAGCTTCTTCCCTTGCTGGGCCTTGGCCCGGCATGTCCATGGCCAGAATGTCACTTGCTAAATTGGTTTTGGGGAGAAGGCAGCCTTTTGTGTTAGCACAGGAGTGTCTTCTGCTTTGAGCTTGTCCTGTCATCTCCTCAGCACTGAGCTGTAGCACGGATAATAAAACCCAGAGACAGAGATAGGGGTGGGAGCTGGAGAGTAGAGAACAGAGTAGTAAGCCATTAGAGAGACCTTTTAGGGTGACCCTCAGACTGCCTAGCCTGCACTGTGTCTCCACCAAACCGCAGACTCCACACTCCCGTGAGTTCCCGTCTCTTCCCCTTTATATTCGTCTCTCTGTCCAGCCATATTGCTCCTGTCTCCACCTCCCTAGTGCTGGAATTAAAAGTGTGTGACTCCCAAACAAAAGTGTGTGAGCCACCACCACCTGGGTCTGTTTCTGGATTGATTTTGTGTAGCCCGGGGCAGCCTTGACCTCATAGAGATCTGCCTCCCTCTGTCTCCTGAGTCTTGGGATTAAAGGTGTGCGCACCACTCCTTGGCCTCTAGTGACTTAGCTTTGCATTCTGATCTTCAGGCAAGCTTTATTTATTAAAATACAAATAAAATATCACCACACTGAGCTGTCAGAAGCTGCCAATATCTTGATTCTTTGCAAATTCCTCATTAAATATTTTTAAAAATTAATGCAGAACAGCAGCATAGCTGAGTGGTAAGAAGCCTTGTTTAACATGCATGAGGCTCTGAGTTCAAGCCTCAGTGCCATAATAATAATAACAATAACAACAAAACAACAATAAAGTACGTATACAGAGAAAGTAAGTCAAATGCCAACTCCAGTCTCGCTTGTACTTCCCATACCACACTTGATTTTATATTAGTTTCAGATTCTTACTGTATTTGGTAATCTTCATTTTACATTTATTACACTAATGTCCCTCCCACCTGCCCTTCCATAGGCCACCTCTTAAGTTTAATTAATTTTTCCTTTTAGATTTTAAAAAGTTGTGTAACATTTACAGTTCTTTTTAATAACTGTTTTAGTTTCTGCTCCTTTATAATTTTATCAAAAACTCAGTAGAAATAAGACTACAGCATTATTTCTACTAGACAATTGGTGGGCACTGTCTATTTTTCCTTTACTTTGGTGAAAAATATCCTTTTGTTTCTTTTTCTATTTTCTTTTTCATTCGTATTTTTGTATGGGGTGTGCATATTTGTGTTTTTTGCATGTGTGTGCGTGCCTGTGTGCTATGGAGGCCTAAGTATATCTTTTTTTGCATGGTGTGTGTGCGTGTGTGCGTGTGTGTGTGTGTGTGTGTGTGTGTGTGTGTGTATGCGTATGCGTGTATGCACGTGCATGCACGCGTGTGTGCACATGGGCCTCTGGAGGCCCGAGATGGGTCTCTGGCATCGTCCATGACTGCTCTTCCACCCTGTTCTCGGAAGCAGGGTCTTTCAGTCAAGCTCAGAGTTTGCCAGTGCTCACTGCTCTGGGGACTCCTGTGCTTTCCAAGGCTAGAATACTTCTAGTCATGCTGCTGCATAACTGGGCATTTCCATGGTGATGAGGACCTGAGCCCCTGTCCCTTTGCTTGTATAGCAAGCCATTGATCCCCTAAGCTGTCTCCTAGGCCTCTGTCTCCATTTGGTGTCTTCTTTTTGAAGAAGAGCCCTGCTTCCCTCCATAGCTGTATACTTAATTTCCAGGGATGCTTATTTCCTGATTTTTGTCTTTACCCTTATTTATCGTTGTGCAGTAGATACCCGCATTTTTGAGGATACCATTGAAATGTTATTAAAATACTCTACTGTTTTTACTCTTTTATTGGGATTGTCTTTCCTTCTATTGTAGGATTTTTATCCCTCAAGTTTGGGAATCCTTAGATATTAGCCATTTTATAAGTGAACTTAGAGACTGTTATGGGCTTCCCTATGATGTAATGTCGTACATCCCCCCCCCCACCTCTCCTTGGACGGGGGTAGCATGCTGACCATCAGCTGTGCATAGCTGGATTTGGTGAAGAAGTCTCCCTTCTGAAATAGGTGGGGCTCTCGTGGTGGTGAGGAGAAGCTTATGGTGAATTCCATCTTGGGCAGAGCTACTTCTGTTCTCTCTATAATGCCTGTTTGGGAATAGAGTGTCTTCGGTTCCTTCCTTTTCCATGAGAACCATGCACCTCTACAAAATGTCCTTTTAAGAACCATCTTAGATGTGATCCCCTGACATACATGCTTGGGTACTGGAGAACTCTCACTGCCTCACTTCTCCCAGGCGGTGGGAACTATCCTGACTTACTCCTTGGCCCACCACACTCTTGTTCTGCTCACTGCCAGCCTACACCTTTTCAGGGCCTCCTTGGGAATCTTCATTGCCTGGTATTGGGGCTGGGGCTCCTCTGCGCTGCTCTGCTTTTATTTTTTCCCTTGATCTTATCTGCTCCCTGTCTTTGAAGATTTACTTAGACTTTTGATCTATTCTGGCTCCTTTTGCTTTTTTTCTAGCCTTTGTTATTATTTCATTCTTTTGAAAATATCCTTTCTTTCTTTCCAGTGAGCCCTGGAAGGGAAGGTTGGGGTAGATGTATCGTGTGTGTGTGTGTGTGTGTGTGTGTGTGTGTGTGTGGTCAGTACTCCATCTTAAATTCCCCAGTTATTTTTTCACATTGAGCTATTTTCTGTGTGTGCAGAAATGAACTTTTTAAAGTCTTTCACTTTGGAAAGTCCTTAGGATCAGTTTGGATCCAAAACTGTACAGTAAACAGTTATGGCCAGACCTTTCTCACTCGAGAAATGATAGCCTCTAGTTCTGGCTGAGCAACTGCTACAGCATCAGGCCCCAGCCACAGGTCCTGTTACCTGGAGTCACTCAACCATGAGTCCTGTGTGACCCAAAACATGGTGTTATGCCTTGGCTCTTTCTTGTCTCTGTGACCTTGGCATGAGGCTCCTTTCTGACAGTCTTGCCTTCAGCTCTTTGCCAGGAGCACAGTGTTGTTTGAATTGCAAGAACGGCGCTAGTTTGGGTTTGGGTTTTAGCTGCCAAATGGAATTGCTATTGAGAGTCAGCTATGGTTCAAGTTTGCTTTTTATTTTCTTAGACACGAGTCAAAGAGAATAGGATCTATTCCCAGCTCATCTGGGGCTTTTTTCTTTTGGAATGATCTTTTGCCCTAGTGATTTGTTCTTTTAAAGCTAACATCATAAAGAATAGAAAAGCTAAACTTTCCTTAATGGAGCTGGGAACCTCTTGCTCCAAACCTTCACTGAGGCTGAGGCTCATAAAGGGAATGACGCGTCTTTAGGGAATGCACGTTTGGCAGCCTATGTAAGAGTCGCTTTCTCCCTCCCACCTCTCGATGGGCTCAGTCCCTTGAGACCCCCTGCATAGATCAAAGTACTTGGCTAGACCTTTGCCAGCTGTCCCTCCTACCCCCACTGGTGAAGCTTTGGAATGAAACTGATTCTTTTAGGTATTTAGTGAAAGTGCCAGACAGAAGCCTGGGCAGATGCCAGCCTGCACAGGAGAGCTGGTAACATGTGGGTCTAATGGGAACATAGTCCCATTTCACCCCCAAACTGGAATTTTATCACCTTTTACCCAGACCCACAAACTGTACTGTTAATCTTCCTCTCTTCTTAACCACCCCTTCTTTTCCAGACCTGGACCCTTTCCCTGGAATATGTGACCCATTAGCCAACTGGATGAAGTAACTCTTTCCAAGGCTGCTGCCTGCTTTTCTTTCAGAGTTGAGGGGGAGGGAGAGAGAGCACTGAGGCAAAGGGTGGGTGCAGAACCAGGAGTGGGGAGGAACTGTGGCAGGGGTCTAGAGATAGATGTTAGGGTCAAATGAAAATGTCACTCCTTGTCTTTCCACTAACACGAGAAGACCCGTTAGTAAAATCTCCCTGTAGTTGTTATAGCCTATTGGAAAACATACACCAAAGCAACTTTTTTTACCATAAGGAGAGCAGAAAAAAGGGAAGAAAAAGTGTGGCTTTTGTGCAGCACCGAAGACAGCATCGTGAACTCCTACAGAGGGAAACATCTTAGTGGGTTGACTGACATGGCTGTAAATGATGTGCTCTTATCCAGAAACGCAGCGTAAGGAATAAAGCTGAGTACTCCAGTTTCTTCAGTAACCTGACCAAATGTCATACTTTCCCTACTTAGGATATTGAAATTGAGGTGGGGAGACCTGGTGTTCTCTGATGAAGTATGAATCTCACTGCTGAGGTCCAGTGCAGTCATCTTTGTGTCTTCCGTTATCCGTGGTTCTAGTAATAGACGGCCCGAGGTTGTGAAGTCCCGAAAGACTTAGGTCACACCCTTTACCCCTTCCCCTTTCTCTCTCTCTCTCTTTTTATTTCTTTGCATGTATTTGTGTTCTCTGTGTTTCTTATTGTTTGGCAGTTATTTGGGAAGTGCTGGCTGTATGTCAGATGCTATCATTCCTTAAAACCTTTGGAGAGATCCTAATTTTGTGTGTTCTAATTCTTCTGTGTCTTCATTACAGTTGAGTGCATTGCTCCGGCATGTGGCATTCAGAGATGAATGTTGTTGAGTTGTGAAATCTAGTAGTGAAAATCACACAGATACTATTGAATTTGCAGTAATAGTAATAGCAACTGATACACTTTTTTGAGATATATTTTTGAGAGGATTTCACTATGTAGCCCTGGCTGATCTGGAACTCACCCTGTAGACTCTAACTGACCTCGGACTCACAGAGATTCCCCTGCCTCTGCCTTCTGAGAGCTGGGACTAAAAGTGTGTGTCCCAGCACTCCCAGCACCACCTGATGCTTATTGAGCATTTAACCCGCACCTTCCATTTGCTTTCCAAATAGAATCTCCTAATAAGATTACTCTTTATAAGAACGTCTTGTGAGAGTTACTGTTTTCTTCGCGTTGTAGCTGAAGTCCCACTGGATCCAGAGCATCTGCTTGACCACCATCCTTTTCTACTCTGCAGTAACTTAACACATACCCCAAGCTTGAATCTTAAAATCCAGTTAGGAAAATCAATATCCTTCCAGTTTCCACAGCGATTTTGATTCCTGTATTAGCCTGCTTTTTTTTTTCTTTTTTTGGGAGGAAATTCAACCTTGAAATGGAAATATTTTTAAATTAGTTAACAGAGGATTTAGTGAATAGGAAATACTCTTAAGGATATCAAAAACTTTTACTTGGGCTTTAATGTACAATACCAGGCAAAGGAACTATTTTCAAATAACCCTTTAGTCCATGAGCGTTCTATTTTCCTTATGCAGTTAGGAATGAGTGGTAAGACAGCTGAGCAAGTACTAAGGAGTCTCAACTCAAGAGTCGATGTTATGCATAGTTCGGTGACTAGAGATTTAGGGAGTGGAAAGAGGAAGTAGGCATGGGCACTAGCTATGTCACAGGGTTGAGAGCCACCTCAGTGTATTCTCTGGTACAGAGGACAGGTGGGTACCAGTCATGTACCTGTTGTAGTCCCTAGGAGTTTCTCAGATGGAGCCTACAATTGCTGCTTAGTTGTAGCCTATAGGTACTGCATAGCTGTGATTGATTAACTTCATGTCTGGAACACAGCCTGCAGCTTTATTGCTTTTCTTACTCGCTAACTTGGAAATGGAGATAGTACTTTTGATAGACTGATCAAGAAGTGTAAGGGCATCAGGAAGTGGGATGGGTGATTGCATTCATTCAGGATGAATGAATACTGATGTCATTGTCTTCGTTTGGTACATAGAGATGAGCTGTAAAAGCTGAGGTCTGCCTTTGAGATAATGGCAGTAGTAGTTGTGCTAGGAAATGCCTTGTTACAGACTTTTGGGGACAGTTGTTTCGTGCTACGATTTGGGGAGCACTACGAACAGTGCTTGAAAGTGAATCTTCCGCGACACTGCCCGGGCACAGTGCTGCTCTAAAGTTTGCAGCTCTGTGACAGAGCCAGTCCCGTCCTATCCTTCATCTCTAGGATGTAGATGGTGGTATGCCTGCCCCTGGGTTGGGTGAGCATGAAATAGTGCTCGGGACATGCTAAGAACAGCTCTTGGCACCTGGCAAATGCTTGGTACCTCTATTAAATTGTAATCATTTCTGCAGACACTGCTAGTTATTTCCAAGCAGCTACGACAGTTAATCTCATAATTGCTTTGTTGTCATTTACAGTTTGGAGCCCCTTTGCCCATCTGAATTGACTTACAGCTGATCCTTCTGTCTTAATCTGATAACAGATGCAGTTGTTCTGTTTGAGATGCGTTCATCTTACTGCTTCTTCCATATGGAGACTGCAATAACTTCCTGCTTCCCACCATATTAAATCTCGACTCCCCGTGCCAAAGGCTCCCCACTTCTGCTATTCCCTTCCCTTCCAGCCATTTCCCAGTTAGAACTTTCAACCCCAGGCTCATGAATCTGCCTCCTTTCTTTCTGCTGGCCTTTACAAATGACAGTGGCCTCCTTTTCTCCCCTGCACATGCCCGAAGCTGTCACTGCTCGGTTCTGTGTCTGCTCTTTTGCTGGCCAGAGTTGGCCTTTCTGTCACAGCCCTGCGGACTGGCCCCTTTGGCAGCTTGACGTCCTATAATTGTAGAACTGCTGCTCCATGTCCTTTTAGAGCCTACATTTTGCTGTTCTACCCCGAAACAATAAACCCTTTAGGGGAAAGGAGCTGCTGAACCTGAAGTTCTGCACGGCACAGTTGTGTCTGTTTTCTTCATCATTGAGGGCTCGGTGCTTTACCTATGGGCGCAGTACCCACTATTCTTACATAAACAATTTTTACCTATTGGTGAGATCTTTAAATGATCCTACTCAGTCTTTACACACAGTTGTTTAGCAGATGACTTAAGTCTCCCTGGGAATGCCAGGCTCTATCATGCATCTGTGTCTGTGCGTCGGGACTAGTGTAGTGTTTTAAAACTTCATTTGTCTTCATATTTTAAAAGAAGCAGCTTTTTATTGTTTAAGTAGCTCTAATTTTGTTGGCAAATAACTATTTTATATAATGCATATAAATCTTTAAAGCTATTTAACTACATTTATTATGAGAGGTGCTGTGCAAATTTATTTTTCCCCATTGTAATTGGGTACCCACAGTGATATTTCATCTGACCAGTTGATTATTCTGGGTTTCCACAGTATCGTTTCTTAAAAGGGTAAGAGCTTTGCTCCTCACTATACATTTTAGGATTTCTCTCTTTTCATTCCTTTCTGTTTACTCAACAGCCAAACCAGATCTCCCTGGAAGAGAACATCTTGGTCTCCCGTTACATTAACAACCCCCTGCTCATAGATGGTGAGTTGTGATTGACTCTTGATTAGATTGGGCTGGATCTTGCTCAACTCTGTAACCTCTTCATAGTCTTCTCTAGTAAATTTTAAAGCTAGTCCGATATTTTTGGTACCAGTGGTTCCAGAGATGAGAATGGTTCTTTACTATCCTTTTGAAACTGAATTTAAGTGATACAGGAGAGATATTACGCGCATGCGTGCACACACACATACACTCTTTCTCTCTCTCTCTCTCACTCTCAGGTGTCTGGTGGGTAAGCCGCATACAGCATGTAAGCCACACATGGCAAAAAAATGTTTTTCCATAGAGCCATATAAACAAATAATTAGCCAGTTGTAGTGAAAAATCTGAAGTAAATCCACTTCTATCTGCTACACCTGGGAGGCATAATCTAAGAACATTTCTATGGTTTTGAACAAACTGAGGTCACAAGATTCTTGTCTTGTTTCTTGGCGTTTTCTCACATTCACTCAAAAATCTCCACATATGAATTCATTCTTGGACCATGTTCCAACATTGTCCTGTGTATTTAGCAACTACATTGCATAGCACAGTGTGAGCAATGCTTCTTTAGTCTCAAAATGCAAGATGTGTCTAGTGTGTGCTTTGTGTGAGGTGGATTGTCATCTTTCATAGTTCTTGGTTGTGCTGTCCTGTTCATCGCAACAGAAAGCAGATGAACTTCGTTTTTCTTGTGACTCCCAACTTTCTTTCTTCCTAGATTTCAAGTTTGACGTGCGCCTCTATGTGCTCGTGACCTCCTATGACCCCCTTGTCATCTATCTCTATGAGGAAGGATTGGCTAGGTAAGAGGCTTTCTTAGGCAGAGGGATTGGCTGGGATGGTAGAGTGGATCCATTGAAAAGGTGTCTAAGATCAGCTGCTTCTTTGTTAGGTTCAACTCAGGGCACTAGAGTGCTCCAGGTGGCTTCAAATGACAGAACACAGTCTTGGTAGTCTACACTTCACTTGCAGGGCTACACAAAGTGTGTGGAAACACTTTTTTCAGGTGTAGAGGACACAGGGCAATTTCATGCAATGAGGGTTGTTATGAGGGACTCAGGGTATTAAGAAAAAAATGTATTTTTTTTTTCAGAGTAGACCTAGAAGGGAAAAGAAAAAGCAACGTTTAATTTTCTTGTTGTACACCAGGTCCTTGTGTCAATGCTTGCAGCAGCAGTCCCTGCTGCCATTTTGCAGCAGAAGAAACAGCTTTGCATGAACGGGGTGACAGTGACTTTTCTGAGCTCCCCTAATGAGGTAGTGCCTAGGGTTTGGAGCTCATTGAATAGTTGTGTTTCTCATTCAGGGGGTGTTCATGGCTTTCATACCTTAATGTACAAGTTATATACTTTGCTGTGGTTGTGAATACAGTTTTCTTGGGTGCTTAGTAGGTTTTAAGGTAGTACCTATCAACAGGATTAAATTATAAATTTCTAGTAATTTGGAGTTTTGTCTCCTGTACCCACAAAAACTTACAGGTAACAGTTTCTATAAATCCTTTTAAAGTCTGTAACTTTGCTATGTGTTTTTTCCCCATTTTTTTTTAAAATATAGTTTACTCTATAGTTCTTCTGCATCATGGCCTTGATGGAACAGTGCATAGCAGTCTAAAGGGAGCTTTGCATCCGTGTGCAGACATAGTAAACGGGAAAGTCAGGCTATGTATGTTTCTGATCGTAGGAAATTTGTTTTGGAAATGGAAACTACATGAATAAAATAAGGGTAATTCTTTGTGTTTATGAAAAAAAAAAACAGATGAATCCCTGTCCTCACAGAACTTCTCCAGTACCTGTCCATGGCTTTAACAGACTGTACTGTATTGTACTGTGACAACTGAGTTTTCTATTTCCAATTTGTTTTGGAGTGAGGGCACTAACCAAAACCTCTTGCTGGCCGAGCCATGTCTTCCTTCCCTTCACCTCTAGGTGGCAATGACAGCTTTTATAAGTTCTGTCATATTCTTAACTAAGATTTATGGCTTGCAGCCTTGGAAACACTGGAGACAACTGACACTCCATTGTCCTGCCCTCTTGTCCCTTGAAAACTGAGAAGGAGAAAAAACATTTCCCAGTTGAATAAAGGCCTGGACCAGGCATCACACATGAACTATTAGCTCTGATTCAGTTATCATAAGGAAGACATTTTCCATAGCATTTATGGATATGAGCTTCTGTACTTTGAGGTATACAGAGAAAGAAGACCAATATAAATATCAAAACCTAGTTTCCATATTACCTAGAACAGAGAGAAGGTAAAATACTCCTGTTTCTTCTGGGGCATAGGGTGTGATGGAGTGTGGTTTCAGAACTGAGACTTCTGACCCTTGCCTCTCCTGTGCAGTGGGCGTCTTCATTATCCTTCCCCTCCATCCTCATCCCAATTCGTGTCCTTGGTCCTGCTTGGTCTTCTGGAAGAGAGAAGGTGTTTATGCACCCTGTTTCTCTAGGGTGTCATAACAGCATCTTGAAGAAGTTTCTGAAGAAGTTTCACCTATAGTATTTGTAACCCTCACTATGAGTAAAAATTTACATAGTTTTTGCATCTTTATGGTTCAGAGCATAAAATGAGAGCGTCTCTAGCATACATTACAGTTTGCTGCAGATGTGTAAATAACTCTGACTACATGTTGTGTTAGATGTCTGAATTAGTGGCAGTTGTCTTGTTTCCAGTAGGGACTAGCATGTACGTGTGCATGCATACACAGCTTTATATGGCCAGGGCATGCTTTCCTCACAGTTGGCGAAATACCTTTTTAATTACTCCTATCATCGAGCCAGAAAAGGAAAACAAAAATTTTCAGGTCTTTGGTGGGTTTACCTGAAACCTAGTTGGATATTGAAGTCCTTATCATAGGCATATCCATGCATTATCTCAAGCTGTTTGCGCAGACACACAAGACGCACTGTTCTGTGCAGGCTCCTCGGTGCGCCTATACAGTCACTGTTTATCTTGGCATTCGCTTGCCTTTCAGGCCTCAGAGTGCGCTCAGCTGTGTCATTACGCTCAGCATCTGTCTACAGCTCCTCCGCACCTGCAGCTTCTGCTAATCTTGGGTCACGTGTGTTTTGTGTAGCCATAACTGAAGGTAATCAGCTTGGGATGAGATCATCAGGTTCCTTTCCTTTGAGACGAGAAGGAAAGCCATAATCTTTCTAAAGAGACAGACCTAGAGGCAAAAATAATTAGTTTCCTTCTTTAGGCTTTTATAACCTGTCATTTTTGTTGGGAGCTTCAAATTAATGGTGGGAGAGTGAAAGTTCACTTTCTAAAGGTCATTGCATTGTGAAATAGGTTCTGTTGTATAAATTCCTTTCCCTTTTAACCTTTGAAAGAAAAAGACACCCCCCCCCCATTTCATTCTGGTTAATGTTTTCATCTCTCTTTGTTTTGCCCATAAAAAGCAGACCCTCACTGTTTATTTCATGTGTAGAAGGGTTTGCCTGTGCATATATAAATTCAGTGCATGCAGAGGTGAAGGAGGGCATTGGATCCTCTGGAACTTAGAGATGGTTTGAACTGTCATGTGGGTGCTGGGAACTGAACCCGGGTCCTTTACAAAAGCAGCAAGTGCTGTTAACTGCTGAGCCCTCTTTCCAGCTCCGTCTCACTGTTTCTTCTATGTAGGTAAATAGTAAAGAGATGGGAAAGTGGAGTTGCCCATCTGGCACTAGCATCAGCTGTCTCGTGGTCTGATAGCGGTGCTTCCGCTCCTCTGCTGCTGGAGAACCCCTGCGCAGGCTCCTGCTGTATGTCTGTGGAAGTTGCTGTTTTGAATTAGTAAAACGGAGGCATTGCATTTCTAGAGAGAGGAGAGTAGTTCTCACCAAAATGGTAGAGATACATTTTTATGTCAGAAGTAGAATCCAAAAAGGCTTGGTTCTGGATTTTACAACTATAGAAGAATCCAATCTGGGATATAAATAATTTGATACAGTCCTTTTTGAGACAAAGCTAATAGCCAGATTTGCACTGAAACAGGAATTTTTTAAAATTAAGATGACATTGAGTTGAAAAGCACATGTGTCATCAGTGACTGAAAGAAAGGTAGCAGCAGCCTCAGCTCATGAAGGGTCCGTGGGGAGCTATGAGGGTCGCGCCCACGCCGCACACCGTGGAAATGGGAAACTGAAGGCCTCCCCTAGTGCTGCCCTTTTGCAACTTTGTGGTCCCCTTTCCCCAGTCATTTACCCAGTGGAGATGCAGAGAAGACCCCAGTCATTCTGTAGGCCCTTCTTTCCTCCCCACCCCCAGGCCCTTCTTCAGTAGTCGTGCTTGCTAATTAACACTGGCTCCGGGGGGTATTTACCTTTTCTGTGCTGGATTCCTGTGGTTTTGAAAGAATTCAGGTACTTGCTGTTTGCCAAAGAATTCAGATTACCTCACAGGCTGCATACTGTCCAGAATCTGCCACAGCAGCAAATTGGGGGAAGAGACACCAGCAGCAGGAGAAGCCCTTCCTAGCCTCCCTGTCACTCTCTCTGGCAGGCCCTTGCTGTTTGTAAAGTTTGAGTCATTTCTGGCTCTGAGGACAGGATCAGGCTGGTAATCCCCTCCCAGACGTTGTGCAGGGCGCTGCCCAGTCACTGCAGCTTCTTGGCAGCCTCCCTGCTGCAGCTGGTCCACAGTAGATCAGAGCGCTCTCGGGCCTCTTGTTCTCTCCCCTAAGACTTTTCTAGGTCAGGCTAGGATGAAACCCAGTGGCTTCTGGCAGGGGTGCCTGAGGTGAAGTCTCATTGCCCGGGCCTCTCTGCTCAGGACAGCTGTATGTGCTAAAGATAACTCCTGTACCACTATTATTACAGTCTCCTTTCTTTGTGCATTTGTTCTGAGTAGAAAATGCATCTGCTAAATTGAGTACTCAGCTCTTCTACATCTAGGCTCCATGACCGTGACCCTAAGAATTTGGTTTGTAGAGCTACACAGTTTGTGCAGGGAGGAGAGAATGGAAGACCTCACTGATTTTGTGCTTGCTTCCATGCTGGTAAAGGTTTGGAAACAAGCAACTTAGCTGCGCTTTCCAGTGATGTTTATACGTACCCACCACAGGTGCTTCTTGACTTGCCATTGACTCATGTCCCAACATAGCCATAATCAGTTTGTTACCATCTAGGGGTCTTGATAGGTGCCTCCCACCCCCCACCCCTCCCTGTCAGTTAAAGAATTAAAAGGCAGGACAAAACAACAAACAGCAAATCCCTCAACTATCCAGTACAAGAAGTAGTGGCAGGGGAAATCTCAGACATAGCCCACAGAGTCAGCCTATAAAGAAACGCTTTTGTTAAGGGTGAGGCAGCACACACAGCAGGGCACATGCAGAGAAAGGCCCTGCAGAGCACAACTGAGACTTGCAAAGCCAAAGCCTGGTCTTTGAGGGGGCTTCCCTGGATTTAGGGTTGGTCAGTTTGAGCAAAGATAGGGAGGCTGATAGATTCACAACTGGGGTAAACATGTCCTGAACTTGCCTCGAACTTATCAAAGTGGTCCGTAGCTGGGATCTAGTGGTGGAGGGGCTGTAGTCCTTTGTGCCGGGTCAGAAATATCAGGAAGAAGCTGGAAGCTTGCTATCTTGGTTTCCTAGTCATGGCCTGTCTTCCTGTCTACCTGTCAAGAGTGTCTGTTCAATTCTAGTCCCTCAAGTTGAAAATAGCACCAATTGGAAATGCATTCAAAAGGGTTTTATTATCTTTATTTTACATGTAAGTGCACTACGTATGTGCAGTGCTGGAGTACGCCAGAAGAAAGATTCTGGGTTACAGGTAGTGGTGAGCTGCCATGTGGGTGCTGAGATTGAACCCAGGTTATC